CAGTATTGCAAATAATTTCTGGCCTCTCAGAAAAAAAACACATTAGACACACTGCTTTGACACAGCATCATTCATCAAGTGTTTGAACAGCAATATGAAATAATTTTATTCTAGGTTCTTGAAAATTCATGTTCATATAAAAAAATTGTCTTCTATTTCAAGGTAGTTTTGGAGTTTTATGGTTATGGGATATTGAGGAACACTTGTGCTTTTCCTTACTCTAAGAAAAATCCATGAAAAACTGTGAAAATTGAAATACCCAGTAGGCTGCAGGATAAAGAGGAGGTACTGCTGTGCAAAGCCTTATAAAGCCTGAGGCTGTCAATTCTAAGAGTGCTCAGAGAGAAGAGCAAGATGAAACTATCTCTTGGACTTAAGCAATTAGTTTAGGTAAGAATGACGAGAGCTGTTTTCAGGCAGGTATATTTGTTGACAGAAAGAGTTATAGAATCACTGAGTCACAGAATCATTGAGATGGGAAGGGACCCTGGAAGCCATCTGCCCAAGCCTCTGATCAAGAATGGTCACCTAGAGCTGGTTGCTCAGAACTGTGTTCAGACAGCTTTTGATTATTCCAAGGATGTAGATCCACAGCTTCTTCATGCACCCTGTGCCTGTGTTTGGTCACCCTCAAAAATGAAAAGTTTCCTGATGATGATAGAAAGTCCTGTTCTGCTTGTGCCCATTGCCTCTTGCCTTGTCACTGGACACTCTCCCTTCAAGTATTTATACAAAAAGTTGAGATCCTCCAAGCATTCTCTCCTCCAGGCTAGACAGCCCAGCTTTCTCACCTTTTCCTCAATGGAGAGATTAAATATCTTGGTGTCCCTCATCATGTCACTAGCTACCTCAGCAGCCATAGGTGCATCCCAAGGCCTATGGACTTATGTCTCTCCTTGTACATTTTTTTCCCCCAGGCTTACATTCCCTGTGCCTCTTTATCTAAAGTCAGCTTTCCAGGCATCTTTGACTTTATTCTGCTCTGTCTGCATCTCTTGCATGAGCATCCAGGCTTAGAAATAACCTCTAGCAAAAATGAATTTGCCCTCATAATTCAGACTTCAGACAGATCTTGCACTTTTCTTTGACTTAGGTCATGGCACATACTTCCTCTAATACAGAGACCAGCATGTTTAATAGAAGAGTTTGACTGTTTATTACAAAAATCATAAATAAAAAATGGCTTTTAAGCCTCACTGACTTAGGTGACAATTCATCTACCACATAGTGCTTCTCCTCTCTTATGCATTTATGATAGTTGTTCATAAAAGAACTCATTTTCACAGTACCATGAAAGATGAATCTGTAGGACAGTTATTTATTTTGTGGTGTCTTTTTTTTTTTTGATAGCCTTGTGAAAGAAACAGTGAAACAATCTCCTGAAAGCTACATTAATAATGGCTTGTCATGAAGGACAAGTAGTATAGCATGAAAAGATATCATTGGTGACAAATACAAACATTTTAAAAATTAAATTTAAGCTTAAAAAAATAAAAATTGTTAAAAAAAAAAGTTGTAGTCCTTCTGGATTTTCTACCCTTAAGGTCTGTGTCCTCAGACTCAATACACATTTATTTATACACATGCAGTAATGTAATGGCTCAGAATAATACTTCCTTTTTTTAAATTTTTTTTAAGGTTTTAGCCAAGATCTGTATTTGTATTATATATTTGTATCAGTCAAGGGGCACAACAGCATTAATCAAGCACCACTAACCTGAAGCAGGAAGACCATGCTGGCCTCTCTAAATGCAAGCACTGTCATGTTACTGTCTAACACAGCACTTTAGATAACAGAATGCTGGGATAGACGTTTTCAAATTCATCTAATAAAATAAAAGTGTTCTGCTCTTATAAACAACTTCTTTACAATTATATCTAGTATAGTGGTTTGTTGTGCACAGTTAAATAATTTCTCATCATCCTCATTCAAAACTGATTACTGTAGCAATCTTATGCACATATTTAACATCCTTATGACAAAAGTAAACAAACAAACAAGAAAATCACAATACTGTTTAGCTTCAAAAAGAGAATTCCAAAAATATGACTCTGTCAACTCTAGTGGGTACATCAGTATAAACTACTAGGAAGAACAAAATTAATGTATGCATGCTCTTTGAACGAAGAATCAGAACAGCTTTTCTGAAGGACAGATGTTCCTTATATGTTTTGAAAGTCTTCTGAAGCTGTCAACAGAACTCTAGATACAGTTTATCTAGATTTTCAATCTGCCTTTAGCACAGTCTTCAGCAAAGGCCCTTAACAAATGTAGATGTCAGAAGAAACTACAGAGGGTTGGACCATAGTGTGTAGCCAGGTTCATGTGGTCTCTCTCAATATAACCTCCTGCTTTCTCTGATGAACACAGTATGCTGGGCCAAATGGACCACCAGGGCAGTGGACACAGCAACAAATACAGGCACACAAATCTTAGGCCTCTCCCTGCTCTAAAGAAAGGTGTAGTAAAACCCTCTAATACATCCATCTACTCTGTAAATCAAAATGCACAAGTACAGCAATAGATTTTACTGAGCTGACAGTTCACTGCACCAGTAAATTAGCAACCCTCATGAACAATCCTATCACACTTATCTGTTGTTTCATTCCTTGAATTTGGAAGAGAACAGAAGACACCAGAAGTTGGCACCAAATATGTTGTACAAAACCCACAGGGCATTTCAAGAAGTTTACTTTATACTGATGTTCACCGAATCAAATGAGTGTGAAAACATCAGTGAAATGCTGCATTATTCTCTACTGAGAGTCGTGGGACCTGGATGGTTTGAATCTTTCTCAGCTATGATACACAAAATCCAGGATGTCCTGGTTCCAGTCAGGACAGGGTGTATTCTAGTTGTACCAGAAGGGGGCACGGTCAGGACCTGAAGGTTATTTTATACCACCTAAGCCATTTGTCAGGTGCAGGGGAAAGGGAATCTCTTCTGGGAAGAACGAGCTCCTTCGAGCTGAGGAAATGTGGTGGAGGGAGCCACCTGGTATTGTCTATTATTGCAGAGTTATTTTCCATGGATTGTTTCCTTTTCTATATAATACATAATTAGTGTTTTTGCTGTTTTTAGTAAATTGTTCTTGTGAACCTGTGATCTTTATCTCTTATGTCTCCAATTCTCCTCTTCAGCCCACTGGGGGGGGGAGGGGGGGTGAAGTGGAGGGGCGTGGTGGAAAGTACGGGAACAGATTTGGGTTTTTCCAGTGGGAACACTAAATTGAGGAATACCACTCCTAAACTATGACAGAAATCTTGGCATATATGCCTGCTTACATGTTTTCTGTAACAGTTTTTAGTATGTCAATTTTTATACCAAGCCTTAACTTGATGGGGATGAAAAACCGACATCTTAATCATTGCCATAAGCTTTATTTCAGATGCATATGTGAAAGACAGTATTTGTGCAATGCTGCAGCTGACAATGTAGCTGTGTGCACAAAGCCCTTTGAAGCATCTGCTTCTTCTGCTACAAACTACCAAGTGCTTTTGCTGACTAGCTGCTTTCTCAGTTGGCACATGCATGGGTAGCCTGGTTTTAGAACCTGTGGCTGGTGTCAGGCACTGGCATCAGCTTCCACTGGAACATTGCGTTAGCAGCAAGTCAGATGTGCTCACACTCAGCACAGATGTAAATACACATCTCATGTATGTACCAGTCACATCCAGGACATGTTACTTACCCCTTCGTCCCCTCTGTGATGGCCTAAGAGACAATACTAGGGCAGGAAAAGAAATTTGCTCATAGATGAAGTCTGTTGAGTCTATGGAATAGTAAGACCACTGCCAGGTGCAAAACTGAGAGAAAAACCCTCAGAGAACTCAGGAAAATTTAGTGTCTGTCTCCCAGAGACCTCCATAAGCAGAAGACTGACCCGAAGGCCTGACTCTCACCCTGCATTTAGACATGACTACGCTGCAGTTTGCAAAGGAAAGGCCAGGACAATACCCACGTATTGAAGCTAGGGAAGACTTATTTCTTTATTACGTATTCACTAATGCTTCGACTCGCAGTGAAATAAATGATATCCTTACATTCCTGTACTGTGTCTCACCTGCCTTCAGCTCAGATGATGTTAATGCCTCTTAAGCATGACCACAAAGACACAGGGGCCAGCAACCACTGCCTGGACTGCTGGTGAAAGCTGCCAGTGTGAGAGACCTGGCTTACACATGAAGTGTGCTGTAATCATACGGCATTCAAGTATGCTTGCTGTATTGTGAGCTCATGTAACAGTCCTGCAGGACAGGAATGAAGGTAGACACTATGGATTGCCAGCCACGCCTTATTACTGTGCTCAAAGGCCAATGGTCACTGTCTGGAGTGGATTCCAGAGGCAACAGACATAATATGTATAAAAAACCCCAGCTCACTGCATTTACCTTTGGCTGGAGTGCTCACCTACAGGTGATCAAATATTCCGGTGACTGTTGGCCTGTTGCAAGCTCTGCCCAAGTTTCAGAGGCCCAGGAGACATTTCCTGTAATCAGCCACAACTCTATCCCTTTTCTCTCTTCAAGGCCAGTCAGAGTAGCAGTGTGTAATACTTGGTCGTTTTTACTGCACACAAGGGTAATAGATACCACATTTGGGAGCGGGGAAATGCGTGGCTTAAGGAAACAAGAAGTCAAGAAACAGGAAGGGAGATGCCTCCTTGTAAGAAACAGCTGCTGTCCGTATCAGCCGTCTGCTCGGAAGCGGAACAGACTCGCCGGTTTTACCACGGCAACAGTTTTGTTTCTGCTCTTCTCAGTCATTTAGCTAACATGTTTGTAAACACCAATGTGTATTTTGTAAAAACTTAGCGTTTCACAAAACAACGTTCATAAACACAAGGCCACTTGCGGAACCTCCCACCGCTCCCACCAGCGCTCTCCGCAGGCCCAGCGGCCTCCCAGCAAGGCGGGACCTGCCCGGCGCTCGCCGCGCTGCCGCCGCAAAGCCTCTCGGGAGTTGAAGTCCCGCATACTGCCTTTTCCATGGCGGGCCCGCGGCTTGTGGACTCCGTGTCCCATGGAGCGCTGCGGGGGGCCCGGCGCCCGGCCCGCGGCCCCGGCAGCTGGCGGCAGGGCGGCTAGTTCAAGTTGCCATAGCGGCGAGGTGAGGCGGGCGGAAGGTGCCCGGGAACGGGGTGGCCTCGCCTAGGAGCGCTGTGCGGTGCGGGCTGGAGGTGCGGGAAGGGCCGCGGCCAGGGCGGTGTGCGGGAGGCGGCTGTCCGGCTCGGAGCGCCGGGGGCGGGCGGGCGGGCGGGCGCGGATGGGAGCGGCGGCGGGAGGCGCGGGGTGCGGCGGCCGTGGGTTCCTCGGGACGCTCCGGAGGCCCGGCCGGCGGCGTTCTGGCTCCTGTCTGGGCCCAAGAACCAGGAGACTCAGAGCTGGAGTCGGGTGTTAGTGACGTTCCCTGCGTGCCCGGCAGGAGGAGGATTTCCAGAGGGCATTACTTGGTTATGAACAGTGCGAAGGAACCGCTTTCTGCGTTGTGCTGCTGAAGAGCGCTGGGAGCACGGTGTGACAAATTGATAATAACATGTGGTACTGATCCCTGAAGGCACGATGGTGAAATATCACCATATGGGATCATCTTCCTGTGTTTTCCAGACTGAAATACAAACACTGAAGGAAAGGGCCTTTCACGTGTCATGTTGTTCCTTTCTGAAATGATTATAATTTTATTTTTTTTTTGTCGTGCTCAGCCTTCGCCTTGTGCAGAAAAGCCAAACTACAAAATTCACAGAAAGAAATTCAGCTGAAGAGTTTCAATGAACTACAACTAACAACCTTCAGTAACTGTGCTGAGCAGACATCTCAGGATTACTTGTGTGAACAATGGAAGCCTGGAAGAGAAGACTGAGAGAAAAATGAGACTGTCTTGCACAGCTTTTGTATTAAAAGACTTCAGTGATTTTTAAAGAAAGGAAATTTACCTACAGTGTAAGAATATTTCTCTTTACCTGAAGATGAATTTTATCTTAGTGGAGGATTTGAACGTTTTCTGCTTATTTTTAAATATAGAGTTATGGAATAGTTTGTATACTTGTATATGAAAAAAAAATATTTATATATATTGTGGCTATATTCATGCATACTCAGATAAGTTCCCAAGATGCATTTGATCAGGGAATTGTTGGTTTTTTAATTAAACTGAGGAGAAGCAGCTGCTTGGAACAAAATGCTAAAGAAAGTTAAAGAAATTACTCTGGAAAATTCCTGAGACCATAAAAATCACTAGAACTTAAGAGTAATTTATTACACACTATTGTACAGCAAGTTTCTCTGTTATTTGGTACCTTATCAGGTGCTCTACATGCAGGAAAGTTCATAAGGTCCTTTGCAGTTTTCAAGGACCACATTTATAATTTTTTTTTTTTTTTTTTTGTCGTGCTCAGTCTTAACTATGAAGCTTCAACCATTCCTTTAACACTAAGTTAGTTACCTAGTGATAGATTAGTCTGTGTGGAGCTGAACAAATAAAACACTTGAGGAATAATCAGATTGTGTACACTTTATCTTTTGTTTACTTGAGTTGAAGAGCTTGACACTGAGATTGTCAGCTGTACTTCTTACCTGGCAGACTTCTTAAAAAGGCCTCCATGAAGCTGAAATGCTTCCTACAGAAAAGGAAAATATTCAGTATTTTCCTGAGTATTGATGCTTTTCATCAGTTCAGCAAAGGTTGTGATCTGCTTGGGTAGGACTAAAAACTAGTAAGAGCCAAATGATTCTTACTGTCAAGTAGGTCATACGTGCTGAAATTAGCATAGCTTTTGGAAAAAGTGATAAGCTTTTTTTTGTTTGTTTCAATTGATAGGCAAATGTGCATATGGAACATGTCTGTAAATTTCTTCTTCTTTGTGATTTTTATTTTTTTAACCTAAAGTGAAACTTGCACAGTTCCTTTAAAAATGAGGATATTGCCTTATGTGAAACTTCTTCACCTTAAAAGTACTTGTGGTTCCTTTTAGGTTGCTCCTGAGAACAAAGAGGAATGCTTAACCATAAATAGTAAGTTTTCTTCTGACAAAATGTCCTCCTTATCCTGTGCTTTCTTTTATTTTTACCTTGATTACTGACCTTTCTTCTGTGCTTTGGCTAGTATATATCTTAATGAGCCTATTTTTGGACAGCTGAAAATAAACCCATTAATCTTTCCTGCTGTAAATCTTTATATCACTTTTTACCCTTCAGTCTTTGCTTTTCAGTAGTTGGGGCTCATATGGTTGGGTCTACTTTTTTATTAGGTTTTGTTGATTTTTTATTTTACCAAATTACAGTAAAACAAATATTATTCCATGCTATTATTTGTACCAGTGTTTTATTTATTTTATTTTTCTTTGTCTCTGAAAATATCCCATAATTTCTGGGATATAAATATTTCATAATTTCCCAAAGGTTAGTGTTTATTCTTTTTCAGTCTCATTAAGACTTCATTGCAGCTGACGACAGTGAGGCACTGGAATAACAAATTCTGATACTGTTAGTAAAAATGTGTCTTAGTGAGATGAGATAAGAAGAGGAAAGATGAGGTTCAGAAAATGTAAGGAATACTGATGTACTTGAGCACAGACTAAGCACATTGATTTGTTGTCCTTTCATGTTTGAAAGGTTTTTGTCCAAGTCTGGGGGACACAAATTTGCAATCTTTTGAAAATTAAATAAAAGACCTCAAAAAACTTCAAGTTGCCTCCATGTAAAATACAATGTAAGATTTGAATCCATCCATGGTTTCTTTTGGAAATTTCAGCTCTCATGGCTAAAAGAATGTCATCTTTACTGTGACTTTTTTTTTTTTGTTGTTGAGTTTGAGAATTTGCCAGTCTATTTCTTCTTTCACCAAGTCATTCCATGACCTTAAGGCAAACTGCTGCAGTGTGTAATAATTTAAGAAAAAAATTTTGATCTAACCTACCTTTTGAGAGTTGCTATTTTAATCTGTTACTATGTGAATTTACTAGGCACAGCTGTCTGTAGTTTTTGATAATTTCACACATCTTATGATTGTTGACCTACTTTCCCTCTATCTTGCCATCCTTGAAATTTAGCAATGCCAATTCTGAAGACAGCTTAGTGAGCAGTGTGAGGTGAAGGAGGGTGCTTCTGCAGACCAGGAAGATTGATAAAACACTGATGTATCCACTCTCTGTTTGGGGAAGAGAATTTGCTTTGGGCTGTGATTTGATAAAATGGGTACTGAACATTTGGCAGCAGTGAGATTGCATATTTTCATTTCATTTGCTCCTCAGAGGCTCTGCCTTCTGCACCTTGACCTTGCTTCATAGTGTGAACAAAGGTAATAACTGGGGAGCAGTTGGAAGATCTGCTTCAAAAGTACATCCTGCTGACCCACACCAGAAAGGCAAATGTAATCTGAGTTTATGAAGTTGCTTTGGGAATATTGTGCAAGACTTCAGTTACAGACAGGAATTAACACACATTGCTTTTTCTGGTCTTCCTGCCTAGGCTTCAAGATACTGATGGCAGATTCATCCAGTGATTCAGACAACTTATTTACGGGTCGGATTGGAAGGCGGCCCTTGAGAGCATCCCACAGCAGAGCTCAGAACTATGGTGCTGAAGAAGTTACAGAGAAGATCCATACTTTAGCAAGCACTTTGCAGGTTGTTTACAAAATACAGTTTTAAAGTATTTGTAGAGCCTACATTTCTGTAACGCAGGGTCAAATTTTCATTTCTAATGTTGTGGAGTGTACTGTACAGATGGGAAACATTGCTTTCTGTGCAAACTAAAGATGGTTTTGGGAAATTAATCATACTGCTTTTGAGCTGAAAGTGCGTGGCTTGTTGCATTTTTATACAGCTGCTATTTCAGACAGTAATAGAATGTTAGAAAAAAAGTTGTGTTGGGGAATACTATTCATAAAGTTAGCAAACTGAATAAGGGCAAATCAGCTTTGTTAGATTTTCACAAAAGGCATGACATTTTCTAGCAGAAAGTTTCAACCTTGTCTTGATTGTCTTGGTACTGTGTAAAATTTCCAAATTTCTGATAAATATAAGCTCTCTCTTCAGGAGAGAGCTTATATTTAAAATATTTTCTAGATGTGAAAAAGCACTGTAAGAAGCATTATTTCTAAAATTGTAAGAGAACAAGAAAAAGTGGAGGGTGCAGAAGGAATATCTGGTTTGCAAACAGGAGGAGACATTTAGCTATCCTGACACCATTAGTGCTGGATAATTTATTCCCGTTCTCCTCTAGTTGACAGTTCTGAATACCTACAGTGGGTGGGTGTATGTTTTATTACTTATTGTTTGGCTAGAAACATTTTTTTTCCCTTTTAATATATGACAAGGGAAAAATCAATATAGAATGGTAAATTTAAAATTCAAAACTTCTTATCTGGAAAATAAACATCAATCTAGAAAATAATATATTAAGAATACAGTCTGATTACTTTTTAAAAGGGATTCTTTGGTATTCTGATTATGTCAAATGTTTTTCTAGCTGCTCTTCTAAAATTCCAATTTTAAGCTAATTGCTTTTTATGGACTGCTTTTCAGCAGATCTTCCATCTGATCCAGGTGTTTATCTGGTCAGAAAATATTCATGCAGTGACCTTACCTAGCGTGTTCACCTTCAAAAACTTGCTATTTCTCAGATAACTATTCTGTTCTACAAGCAGGTAATGTTAAGTTTGTTGAATTAAAAAGGTTTTTCTACAGAAACTTGAAAAAACTATTTGTTGCTGAGGTCTTACTGTTGTACTGAAGTTATAGAATTTGGTTTGTTTTTTTTTTCTTCTTCTTCATTTTCCTCCCTTTAGCCATGCTGTATCCCTTCAGATTCTGGTTACTTGAATAGGATTTTGAATGCTTAGACTGTTTAGAAAACATTTGTGTTTTTAATTTAATCTTAGAAATTAATAATAAAGACAGCAGTAATGTTTGATTAGAGGAGATTTCTGTTTTGACTTTTTTTTTCTAAAACTTTTTTTATTTAAGGATACCAACAGAAATCTAAGACACGTTGACCATTTGCTAGGACAATACAGAGAATACAACAAGGAACAAACCAAAGCAATAACAACTGTGAGCAACTTTCAGTTTATCTTAACTTTTAGGTCTTTTCCATTAGTAGAACTCATAGCTGTAAATGTGGTATTAATGGACAGAATACATAAGGATTTAAGTAGCTTTAAACAGAAACTTTTAATATTTATTTGAACATACTAAACCATAATACAGTAAAATGTTATATAATGAAACTCTGACAGGTTTTGTAGGCTCATTACTTCTCTGGTTTATAAGCACCCAGTAGATTATGTTATGGTACTATGCAAAGTACAAGATGTGTTGCTGAAATAGAGTATTAGGGAACATGTTTCTTTTGCAGGAAGAAGTGGTAAGATAAAAGCTGAATTACAGCAGGGAGTAAGATTGTGGTCATACTGGTGTAGCTTTTTTTCCTGTCATTCTGCAGCAGTTTCTGGATCTGTTGACCAGCTTGCTCTAAACTGCAGAAAGGATGAAAATTCTAAAATTATTCTTCTCATTTTAGAAACTCAAAGCTCAAACTTCTACAAACTTGAAAACAGGTGTCTTAGAGAAAACAAAACAAATTAGTGCTGCTAGGGTAAGAGAGGTTTGCAATTTGGTTACAAACAAGCTGCAGCAGGTGCTGCTTTAAAACGGATACATATGAAATGTAGAGTATTTTACATGTGAAGGTAGAGAGAGTGAAGAATCAAATGTGTAGAAAAGAAAGCTTGTTTTTTTCACAGAAAGAGATCCAACACTGTATAATTCTGCAGGAGTAAAGCATCAATTTAACCATGGTTTAAAAGCTTCTCTTAGAAAAAGGAGAACCTTTAGAAACTGATGTTTTGTGGATTGTCAAATAAAGGTGTAACAAGGCAAGTGGCTAAGAATCAAAGTTAATGAATGCAATCGTAAAAAACGAGATGCAAGTTTGAAAAACGAAGAACTAATTTTTGGATGTAGCTAGTTCTGTACTCTTAAATTGGGAATGGCTTCCTTTTCCTGAAAGTGAAACTTCTAAAAATAGAGGTTTCTGTAAAGCTGTTTAGGAAAATTTGATAGCCATGTAAAATTGATTCCAGGCAGTGTTGGTGGAAGAATTCCAGTAAAAAATAATTTCTTTGAAGTTATTTTCTGAATTTTGCAGAACTGTTAATAAGCATTGCTGGCAAATAGGTCTTACTTTGGTTGTAGGAGGTAAACTTTTGAGTTTTCATGGTGGTGCACCATATGGTGCACCAATGTTTTGTTTGAAGCTGCCAATGTTGGAAGCATGTTTTGCTATAATTCCAGGAATGTGATATATGAGATATTGAAGAAAAGTTGTTATTAATTCATAGCTGTACTTGGCTTAAAAATAGCTTTTATTCTCTTAATGACTTTTAAATAAATACTATTTTCCATGCTTTTTAGAAAACAAGTTTGTGTTCATATTTCAATAAATTACAACTCTTCTACAGTTAAAAGAAACACTGGAGCAATCTATAGGTCAATTGAGGAGCCAGCGACTAACACGAAACTCTGGAATGAGAAGTGCGTCTCTCTCAAGCTTATATCCCAGTGACCTGGATGGAGAAGGAACATCTGGTAAAATACTTGAAGGGCTTGCGTGTGCTTGGATTATGTCATATGGCTGTGTTATGCAAAGAGGACATTAAGAAAAACGTGTAGAGATAGTCTTATGGAAAGTCATCATTGATGACTTCAAAGAAGCTGAGTTTAGAAAGCTGGGAGACCTGCATTAAGTTATGCAGTTCTTTATGTGGTAAATTTTTCCAGCTTTGTGTTTCTGTTAGTATTTTCTGCTGATATCCCAGGAGATCTAAATGAAATGTTGATTCTTTCAGCTGAGGAAATTAATGTTCCACTGCATGAGTTGTAGGTACATAGAAGTTAAAGCTAAATCCAAAAGATATTGCAGCTTCTGAAGCTTGCTTCACAGCAATAAAGGAATTTAAATTTTAAATGCATGAGATTATGGATGTTTGGAAACAGTGGAAAAGAAAAAAACCAGAAATTATTTGACACACAAAAGAGTAGGTTTTTTTCCTTGTATGTCTCACAAAATTCATTATATTTTGGGAAAAGGTATGTTTGGGAGGAGTATTCCTTTGAGAGATAGTATTAAATGTATTTTAGTAGAAAGCTCTAAAAATTTAATTTCTATGTAAAAGCTTTGAAATATCATAGTTTGAAGCTCTGATAGATGCACATGGAGGAAAAAGTGGTTGGTTGGGCAAACAAAACTTGAGGAAAAACTACTCCTTGGAGAAACAATTCCTCTTTCTGGAATACTTGTATGTCATGGGTAAGAAACGTTTAAAGTGAAGAAGAATCCTGGGAAGAGCTAAGAGTCATAAGCATGATATGTACTTCAGTAGTTGTTTTGTTTGTAATGTGACCTAGAAGGGTATTGTCAAGAGGAAATAAGCATTTTTCATGAGGAAAAATGAAAAATTTCCCATACAAAATTTTGTTTTCCTGCTTGTTTTTTTCTTTTTTTTTTTCTTCATATCTCCTGCAGGCAACCGCCACTTCCTGCCCACTTCTCCTCTCAGGGATTATGGAGACTCCCAGGGCAATAAACACCGAAGGTCTAGATCTGCAAGTGTTCGGTTTGTCAGTGAGACAGAAAATGTGGAGCAGGTACAGAGCACTAATGGGAGTTGCTGTTCCAAACAGTCAATATGTTTGCTGTTTGAGAGTCAAAGAGTCTCAAAGTCTCTTATTTTTACATTAAATGAGGTGATTCTGAACATGCAGCTAAGAATGTTTCAGTTATGATTTGTGCTTTCAGTTGTTACCTGCTTTTTTCATTAGGCAGTCACCTCTTGGATCTGTGTGAGATTTCATGTAAATCATTATAGAGAAAAAGATGCAGATGGTAGTGATATCAAAAGTAAAATATGAAAATAATCTCCCTACTTTTTAAGCTGTCTAATGACAAAGAAAAATAATCTCTGAATAGCCTGTTTAGTCTGGAGAAGGCTGAGAGGGGATCTCAGTAATACATATTAATATCTCTAACATGGATGTCAAGAGGATGGTGCCAGACTGTTCAGTGGTGCCCAGTCACAGGACAGAGAGCAATGGCCATAAACTAAAACACAAGAAGTTCCACTTCAGTGTGAGGAAGAGCTTTACAGTGAGTATTGTAGAGCACTGGCACAGACTTCCCTGTCTGGAGACATTCAGAACCCACCTGGACAAGTTCCTGTATCACCTTTTCTGGGTGACCCTCTCTTGGCAGGGTGTCACCATTGAGTCAGGAATGGATGAATGAGTGACACACTCCAGATCTCTTCAGGAGGCTAATAAGAATTGTATTAGGAACCCATTCCTTTTTATACACTGTTCAGACACAGGTGGACCTGATTGGTCCTTTAATCAGCACACCTCACATGACTGGCTAATTGAGACACCCTTTGGTAAACATCTTATGGGAAAACAGCTGCAAGATTGTTTTAGTTCTTTCTCTCAGCCTTCTCAAAACTCCCTAGAACAATTCTTGGGAAAGTTTATCTGGCTTTCTCTCTCTGACCAGGTTGTCAGTATCCACAGCAGGGGGCTTGGAAGGGATGACCTCCAGAGGTCCCTTCCAGCCAGTTAACATTCACCTTTGTGCTGCTGTTCAGTGAGGCTCTGAAGGGGATTATTCTGCTTTAGTTAATGGTGTAGGGCCTTAGAGCTTTTGTTTTTAGTTCAGTGTAGCTTGACTTGATTTTAAATCAGGTAGTTCTTCATCTTAGTTCTTGGTCTGACCTGTGAGTGGGATAATTTGAGCCTGTATTTCAGGGAGATGACGGGAGAAGATGTGTGTGCCACAGGTAATTAATATCCCTTAACATGCTTGTGGACATCAGAAAAAGTAAATTAATTACCTTAATTGATAAGATTGTAGTGTTTCTGTTATCCTACAGGTAGAGAGGAGATTTCACTACCCGTTTTTGCTTTTTTCAGACAGGGTGGCTAGACTTGCTTGAGTGAATCTGTGCAGACTAATATTAAAGAAGCTGATTGTAAGGTATTGATATTGACTTTATTAAATCAGTCTCAGCTTCCATATAATTTTATACTTAACTACAACAAGTTTTCTCAGATGACTTTTTGGGAAACTATAGAAATTTTAGACTTTTATTTAACCCTGTTTCATTGTACTTTCAATCTAGTTCTCCCCCCATTCCTTCCTCTCCCAAGATAAGTGTAGAAAATAATCCTTGGAAGGAAACAATATTATATGGAAGTCTTTCCTCAAAACCATCCAAAATGCTTAGGACTATTTTAAATTATTTGTAGATATTATATAAATATCTTGGAAATTTTATTCAAGGGAATTCCTGCAATGCATGCAAAGTTCTTCATATTAAGTAACTGTATAGGCAAATAGCTTTATTTTTTTTTTCTGGTTTTGATGATAACTGCTGGTTTATTCCTTATTCTTGCTTTTCAGTGAGTGAATGTGGCTTTTTCTTTTCATTAACTATTTTGTAAGAAGAGTGTAGTGCTTTGAGGAATGATGAACTAGAAGTAGCCATTGATCATGATTATAGGTAGAAATTACACCAGAGATAAAGCTGTACTGCTTAAGTGAAGTTGTGGCTTTTTCTTTTTTCTGCAACCACTGTCTCTTTATTTCCATTCTGACTTTTTCTGGCTGAAGTAATTTTTCAGCCAAATGGTCTTTTAATATATTTAAGTCCCTCTTCTTCTTAGCACATACATTTTGAAAACACAATTTGTTATTTCAAAGTCTCTCAGGTCAGGTTAGAATTTCTGGTTAATCACACAAGGGAGGTAGTAGTGACTGTGTCTGAATGTTGAGGGCAGTCAGCTTGGTTGTGGAAGATCCAGGTTTAAATCTAGGGCACAGAACAAAGGAATATTATAAATTAGGGTTTTTCATAATGATAATCCTGGCCATGGAATTGTTGACAGCAGCAGGTTGCATTAGGATGGATTAACTGTCACTTTCTGTCCCATGAGCAATGAATGACCTATTCATTTTTTTATTTGCTCCCTAAAACTTTGATGATAAATTGGGAGCCTGCTGAATGGGGAAAATGGGAGGTGTGGTGTGGTGGTTTTTTTTTTTTTTTTTTTTTGGTTGTGTTTTTTTTTTTTTCCCAAGTCTTGGGCAAGTTAAAATACCTATTCTTGGTAGTTCCTGAATATATTATACTGTTCTGCTTGTTTAATTTCAATTTCCTATGTAATCTATTTATAGTAGCATATATAGCTGGGCAGAACTTTGTTGTACCAGTACCAGTATCTATTAACATGAAATATGTCTCTCCTGAACATTACTTGTTCAGATATTTCAGTTTGCTTTGCATTAAGTTAAAGAGGGGGTATAGTGTCTAAGCTCTGAACCAGAGAAAAAAAACATAGTTAGGAAACTTGGTTTAGCAAATAAAGTACTGAAAGTTAAACTACAGTGAGCAAGTATTGTGAAGAGTGGATTGAAATAGAAATGCATAAGGCTCATCCAGTCATCCAGGCTCAACTACAGTTCATGGAGTTTTGTTATTTTTTAGGTAATTTTTATCTGCTTTATTTTAAAAAGTGTGTACATGTGTAGATATGTATTTTTAGAATATCACAGAAAAAAGGGTTCCTAAGCCTTGGCATAATTTGTGTACTTTCATTTGCAGCTGCATTCTTTCCACCAGTCTCTTCGAGATCTCAGCAGTGAACAAGTGCGCCTGGGAGATGACATCAGTCGCGAGCTTTCAAGAAGAAATCGGTATAAACAGAATGTAACTCTATGTGGAGAAGAGTGTGGAAAAAATTCTTAAACTCTTTTATTTCAAAAAATAATTTTGGGGAGAATGAGTGATTGTGGAACATGTAGATGAAAGCAGGATTATGAACTGCTTGTTGTGTGTCATCTGCTGCAGTATTTATAAATGTGAATAACACCTACTGATTCAAATTTGTATAATATATTGGGCTTTCCTCAGTTTTTTCAAATATATGCACAAAATGACAAGGTTTTGGGGATTTCTTCTATTATAGCTTTGATCCTAGTTTGTTCTTGTTACCGAGTCCCTTCAGGGCAAGCTCTCCTGCAGGCCATAATGTATATATTTTCTCAACATGTGGTGCTTTGTTCAATACCAATAACAGGAGTTAGACTGTTAATTCCTAGCAAGAAAGGACTGTTCAAAAGGACTGCATAGATGTGTCCATAATTTTTTACTTGTTGACCTGATACCTGGCTGATATTACGATGCTCTATTTCTTCACTTGAGGAATGGGAATGTTTTTTATCATGAATTTTCCATTTGAGGCTTGTTTCTCATTATGTTATAAGTTATTATGAATGGGCTGTAGTACAAATTGAGGTAGCAAAAAATTCTGGGGGGGTTGTTGCTGCTTAAAATTGTCATGGGTGTTACTTAGCTTTTGCACTGTAGAATATTGTCTTATTTATATTTTTCTATGAAGGACTGATGCTGAATTAAGAAAGACTCTAGAAGAATTGTCTGAAAAGCTCACTGAGTCCCAAAGACAAGAAACGGTGAGTGTGACTAACATGAAAATGATTATTTAAATCTAGTATTTTAAACAAGATGTGGGCTTCTAGTTTAACTTATGTGTTGGTAATTGGTATGACATGCTGATATGTATATCTGAGCATGATCTTATTTGGGCTGCTATAGGTTGTTGAAATGCCACCCTTTGATAATGAAATCAGCAAGACAAGTTGTATATTTCAGGTGTTTGAAATATACAAGTTGTATATTTCAAGTGTTTTACAGGTGTGTGTATTGTGAGTTTTTCTGTTACAAAATTCACAGCCTTGGAGAAAGCTGCTTTTTAACTTTGAACGTTGGTTTGAATCCTGTTATAATTGTTGAAGGTATCTTTGGAAAGATCCAAGCTTTCCCATGTTATGATGACAAATACTATTGTTTCTTCCTCCATCCCTCCCTCCCTGTTCTTTTCAGTCTTTATCATCTGTGTAGCAAAATGGAAGGAGTCTCTTTGGGCTGTACTCCTCTCTAAAGGCTTCCTGACAAAATGTAGCAAAGGACAAAGGGCAGCTATGACAGTCTTTTCTTTTTTGTCTTCTGTATTTGCTGGAAGGAGACTGACTGCACTCTGTATTACTTAAGTCTGAAAGAGATCTGCTACTGAGATCAAAGTCAAACAGCATATTGCTGTAGGAACAGGAGAAGTTGAGAATTGCCCCAGTGATTAGTAGGTGAGAATCCTGTAGGTAGTAGTGAGATGTTTGTCACTGATAACAATATTGTTGGCATGGACCACTTGTTGGTACCAGCAGACTTAATAAATGTACTTGTGTAAATTCATGTTTCCAGATTCAACTGGACATTGATTCAAGAGACACTATCTGTACCAGTTATGTTCTTGATATGATAGGGTTCATCAGGGAAAGAAGACTTGCCTTGTCAGCCTTTGTAGAAAAATATGATGGGGTTATATTTGTTAGAATGTAAATTTTGATTTCTCCTAGTAGCCTGGTAAGATAAAGTAAGTTTATCTGATAAAGAATTCTTGATACTTGAAAAATGCTGTGTTTTTCCTGTAGCAGACTTCTCAGTATACTTATTTTTTTCTCTTTCATGTACTAGGAAATTAGCAAACTCAGTTTTAACCAAGGTGGTTCTCAAGAAAATAGCTGCTACAGCTGTCTACATTACAACTGTTCAGTGCCATTGCATGAGAGAAACAAACTCTCCTCAATCCTCTGGAATGGAGGCATCCACTGTCTGTTCATTAATGAAAGAAATAACTAGCTCTTTGACCTCCTACAGTAGGGTTTCAAGATAGGAAATTGAAGGTTACAACTTTTGACCTGAGAGAAGCAAAAAATGAGAGAGGTGAGGTATAACAAGGAAGTCTCCTGTAGTATGTTAATGGTAAGGGCAATATCAGAAGAGTAAGCCTCTTAGTTGGGAGGGAGCATTATAAAGCAATAAAGCTATGAAAACTGAAATATTTACTGATATTCTTTTAGTGAAGACACAAGTGCTGCAGTAAGCTGCAGTGAGTTGATTTTTATTTGTAGCACTAGTAAGAATTCACCTGGAATGTTCTGCTCATTGGTGATTACTGACTTTATGAAGAACATCATAAAGCCAGAAGGAAAGAAGACTGGAAAGAGGAGAGGGAAAAAAAGAAAAAGGGGAAAAATAAAAAGGCCAGTAATTCAAAGACTTCCTGGAAAAGATAGAAGAATAGCTGGGGTTCAGTTTGCAGAAGAAACAGGTCAATAGAAAGGATCTAGCCATGTATGATGAATGGCCAAAAAATGGAAGTTTACTGTATGATATAAGAGCAGAAAGTCATCTAATGATAATTTTGTCCGATAGAAGTCCAGTCACCAGTGAGTTAGGAGCTTCTTGGTCTGGAAGTGGTCTGTGTGCTTTCTGTACTGAGAAATATTCCCTCTGTGGATTTCTTTTTTGGAACTTGTCCAGTGTTTGTTATAAATTGCATATTTTTATGATCTTATCTTATAGCAAAGGGTTCTCAAAATAGATTATATATTGTGAGAGGAGCTGCTGTTTTTTTGGTTATTTTGTGCATATGTGTTTTGGTTAATGTGTTTTGTCTTGGGTTTTTTTGTTAGTTGTTGTAGGGTGTTTATTTGTTTGGATTTTAAATCTAATTTTTCATCCCTAATTTTAACTTGGGAGGTTGTTCAATTTCTTCAGAGGCTTTTCAGAGTGTTACTTTTCGGGCCGAAAAATTCTGACTTAATTGTCTGTTGTGTCCAGCCAGTTCCCCATCACTTGAATAGCCTAGTGGTAGCAACATTGTGCACTGCTGCTTTACCAGGGCTCTCTGATCCTAGGTCTGGATTCCTTGCCCTTGTCCAAAGCCTAGTGATCTCCTATTACCTGATGAGGCTGGCAAAATCAATGAGATGAGGTAAATGCAAAAAAGAGGAATTTAGTATGGATATTAGAAATAAAAATAACTCTCATGGTATGCATAGCAAAGCATGTGATTAGAGTGCATGTAGAAACTAGAGTCTGTTATTGTGGATATTTGACATCCTTTAGTATATGTATGCATTTAGGAATTCTTTTTATGAGATTGCTTAATTCAGAATTGATTGTCATTGGTGAAAGTGAGTGGAGTAGGACATATAATACCTTTTTTCTCAAAACTTACTTATGCAAAGTTGTTCAGGAACTTTTGTCCTTAGTGCCTTTAGGCTTGGGAGTGTTTATCACCTCAGGCATTGCCATCCTTGTATTTATATTCTGCTGTATGATTCTTGGCAATAAATTGTCAACTTGAAATCTTGATAATGTCACAGGATGAGCTCATGGTAGAAACATTCTTTTCGGTTCAGTGTCCTTAAGTCTTTTATTTTTTAGAGGCATATGTTTAAATTCTTACAGTTTGGTATATTTGGGGCTGTTTGAAAATTGCCTGTTTGTAGATATGTGATGATAATGGTCTAAGTTACTACAGTTCTTCTGAGTCACTAGTTCAGAATTTATTTTTATAAGAGTTTATGATTTTTAGAGCCTTTTTGATGCTGCATTTGAGTACTTTAGGATTCACACATCACAATCGAAGCACCATTTTTTACCTGTAAAGAGAGCTTTTCCATGCCAATATAAAAAACAGATGACATTGAAGGTTGCATAGTTGGATGCCTGTTTCAAGTAAAGCACTCTTCATGGCCTTTGACGAGAATCTATGTGCAGTTTTGCTAAAAAACCTTTCTGGTTCTGCAACTCTATATCAAAATCTTTTTCTTAGCTAGACATTTTGTGAGATTCCTTTTTTTCTTGAAAAGGGTTTGGAAGTTTGCTAGACAGGCATATATAATCAATCAGAAAGAATATTTACTTACTTTATGGTTATAAAAGATAGCCCTCTTGGATATTTTGTTGCAATTGCTTGGATAGAAGCACAACTCAAATAGCACAAGATTCTGATCTTTATACATAAAAAACAGCTTCATCAGAGCACAGTTTAGTTAAAAATAAGTAGATGCTTAATTGAGATGGTGCTGTTATAAAATGATGGTAAACTGTCTCTGGAAGAAGACAATAATGTCAAGTGAAATGGGTCTAACATGGAGTTACTGTGGTTATGATACCTCAGAGGCTGGGATTATTGTCAGGTAATAAACTGTCCCTCAGAAGATCTGGTATAAGGATTTTTGGTGCTGCACAGGTGACTTGTAAATGATATAACACATATTATCATTTGCCATCATGGGAAAGTTTAACAATATTTAAAGATATATCTCTGAAAAAATTATGCTTTTTTGTGATTTTAATACTCCTGTTTCAAGTATGCATTGATGATAAAATGGGTTGTAGCAAGAACAGCAGCAAAAATCTGTTGAAATAGATTTCTGTTAGCAGGACTTTTTGCACTAGAAATAACAGTGGAAAGCTGAAAAACAGGGCAGAAATTCAATAAGTAGGATGGTGCTTTTTGTACAGTAAGCATGCAGCATCTTCCACGAGATTATATTTAGCTGCATGACTTAAATGTCACCCTAGTTTTAAAAAGGACGTTCTGTTCTTTTTGTTTAATTGTGGGGAAGGGGAGGAACTTTTTGATAGCAGCAAAATCTATGAAAACAGATTAAGCTACCTGAAACCTGTATGTAGAGACACAGCTCTAGTGTCATTATTATTATTCAGATAGTCTGTGTTGCTAAAAATGCATGCTTGAAATCACATTCTAATATGTTCTTAATGCAGTAATTTAGTGCTAGTATTTCATGTCATTGTGTAAAGCCTCTATATTTTTTGTACTGTCCTTTGGTGAAGCATTTGTCTACACTAAGATTTTTGATAACAGTCAGAGGTGAAGCTACATACTATCATGGTAGAAGCGTGGTTCTGAGTCAAGGTCATTTGGAGCAAAGGAAGACAAGTATGTTTTTAAGTTTACTCTGCATGTACTACTTAATAAATTAATTGTTACTAATTTTTTTTTAAACCCTACTGTTGTATGCCACAGGCTCTGTGACAATCTTAGGAAGGTCAGACAGGCTACAAAAATAGGGAACATAATTCTTGTGGGTGATTAAAGCCTTGCTGAAATGCCAAGGTGTTACCAATATCATACCAATGTACAAAGTATGAGAAACAAATAGGAGCTTTAAGTAGCATCAGACTGTTTGGTGGTTTGTGTTGGTTGTGGGGTTTTTTTTTTAGTTTCTTAAAGAGGATTATGTCTGTAACTGAAATTTCCATGACAAATGTAATGATACATAATCCGTCTCTTTTAGTACCTTGTTAGAAATAATACAACTGTTGTATTCTGGAGTGAGTTGAAGGAAATGAGAGGCAAGACAAATCACCTCATAAGGTTACTTTCTTACTTGTTCTGAGTTAGTGATAATTTGTAATGAAATCTGAACTTTTCAGGAATCTAAAGCCTGTCTAGTGCTGCTTCTGTCATGTTATCTTCTGTGCATGCTAGACCTATGACAGTGAAGAAGTTACTGAACTCTCCTGTGGAATGTCATCTTTGGGGGTGACAATACTTTTAAATCTTCTGTGAAGTCAAAATTGTATTTTTCTTTCGTAATAGTGCATTATAGTTAGTGCACTGAATTAGTGCTTAATAGCACTAAAGCTATTAAGACAGTGCTTCATTGAAAAAAGGTGCATGAGAGAGCTGAGAAAGCTTCTGTCTTCAGAAACACATAGTCAAAACTTTGAAAAAAATGTTAAAAGATTACTGTTTCATTTTTTTATTTTAGATATGTATGGGGAAAAAGATAATTTATTTCATTGGTTTCAGGAAAGGTATAACAAGTTTAATGACAGTGTTATTTTCTGTTCCTACTACATGGTATCATTGTTTCTGCTAGCTGGAGTATTTTATGAATTCTGAGAAGTAACGCTAAGTGGTACTTGTCAAAACAAACTTTGCGATATGATCTTTGTCTTTTTTTATACATTAGTTTTTAGTAAGTAATTTTTCTGGAGTATGGCTGCAGAGCTTTCTTAACTTGAAGTGTGTGGTTTGATGCAGTATCAGGCATCTCCTGATGGTTTTAGGAAAAAAATACAATATTTTGTAAGCTGACTGTTCATCTGGCTGCACAAACAAGAAGTGTTTTCGGAGAGATTTATTCTGTTGTAAAGAAAAAGAGTGTTTTGTTCATTAAGCCTTGTGAAGCCCAGATCATAAGTGTAGCCTTAATTGTGTTTCTGTTACTACTTCTGTTACCATTAAGAAAGCTTGACGTATAAAACTTATGACATAAGTTGTGTTGCTCATAGTAAAATTTTCTATCTGTGCATATGCCTAGTGCTAACAGATGTGTGCTTAGCAGAGAAAGATGAGAACTTATTCACCTCCACATACATCAAAAGCTGATAGTTGAATGGTGTTTTATTTTTATCTCTTTTTATCTCTATCTTTCTCTTTTTATCTGATTGTAATTTGGTAATGGATATATTGCTTTCTGGTGATTTAAAATAGTTAATTTTAAGGTAGGGAGGAGATGATACATAAATATTTTTCTTACTAATCTTTAACAAAATAAATTTAATTTGTTGCCTCAAGAGGGTGCTGTCTGCTAGCAGCTTGAATTGTAAAAGTGAAGTAATTCTTGTGTTCTAGTCTGATTGAGTTTTTATGTTCATAATCCAAGTTGCTTTAATAAACACCTGTTGTTGTTTGTGTTCGTTTCTACATGGATTCACAAAATACTGGGGAAAAAGCTTAAAGTGATGTAATTATTTTGTGTTATTACAGTCATTCTCAGGTATTTAGTCCTTGTTTACTACTTTTTACTCACAGACTTTGGATCATGAAAGAGGCAAACATTGGTCTGTTTTGCAGGCTGGAGATGTGAAAGAAATGTCCTTCCAGGGGTTCATCAGGTTTATGACAGAGAAGCTAAGACTTTTGTATTGCAACTTCACATTAGACTGCTCTAACCTTGATAATGAGATATTTAACCCTTGAGTAGAACCACCACTGTAGAGAAAAATATGCATACACATAAAGGAGAATACTGCTAGCAAGATAAGTTTGGTTCCCTGCCTGAGTACTTCTGGAGTACTGACTGCTATAACTAGTTATTTTCTCTACCATTCTAGATTTGCTTTAATAAAATACAAATTATGTTCTCTTTTCATTTTGCCCCATAATCTGTTTATGTTTTTGCCATTGATATTTTCATATGTATTAAAAGGCACACTAATTTCCTGCAGCACGTGTTTTTTCCTTTTGAAGGTATCAGAACGGGTAGAGAGAAGACTTCAGGAGATAGAAGAAGAAATGCGTGCTGAAAGACAGCTCGTAGAAAGGCGCCAGGACCAGCTGGGCCACATGTCTCTTCAATTACAAGAGGTATGCAAACGAAAGCTTCCCTTGTATTTAGGATTTAGTTAGGAACATGTTGCATTTGTGAACCTGTGTCTGTCAAATTGGCAGAAGTGCTCCTATCTTGGGCACATGTTTTAACTCTCAGTCCAGCTGACATTGTTTTGATGATCAGATAATACCAAGCACAGATTCAGTCCTTCATTATATTGTCTTGGACTATATTTTGACCTTTTTGGTAACTGCCACAAATCTTCTAAGAACCTGACCCCTATGCCCTTCCTGAAAACCTAAGCAAACAAAAGCAAGTCATTAGCTGGGCTTTTTCAATTAAAAGGTTTTATTTTAAATGGTAAACTTTGCTTGCTCACGCAAATGAGCACGTTAATTTATTTCAACAAACAATCTAAAGCACTGTAGTGGCCAGAAAACTTTTCATTGCTTTTCAGTTTTATTCAACAATACCTGATGAAATAAAAAATACTGTTTAGGAGACAAATAGAAATGTTTAGAATATAAGTTAAAATTTGAGACAGCAATTAGCTTTATTTTTCTTGTTTTCGAAAACATATGAAAAATACTTATTTCTTTTTGATTTTACTTCTGCTTGCAAAATCTGTGTCATAACATAGTGTCACTTTTTATTTCACTCCACTTAAGATTTGCAATGGTATCTCTATCTGTGCAACAGGTTACTATAATTGAGAAGAAATATGCAATTCCTTGGTTTTCACTCTTAATGTTTGCAACATAACTTTTTGGAAGGCTTTATACTGTGCAGTGATACTGAGGAACATTTCTCATGATGCTACATATTTCATGTAAAGCTAGAGACTGTTCCAAGATGTCATATTGTAGAAGATGAGATGCTTTTTTTTTTTTTTTATATAGATAAAAAGTAACATTTATCAAAAGGCTTGGTATCCTTCTGCCAGTACTTCAGAAAGACTTATTGTTTCATTTTCTCTCCAGTTCATGCCCTAGTGGATGAAAAGAACTAGAGTACTGAATTTCAGTTTTCATTGCTCTTTAATATGCCTATGTCTACTTCTAGATTCTTCAGTTGTGTCTTCAGACTGGGGAAGGGATGCCTAATGCAGTGTATAGGTGTGATTTGATAATGTTATCTGCAGAATGGAACAATCTTATTTTATCCTTTTAAAGGGATGATACCTTGTATTCTCTAAAGATACATTGACACTGCCATAGTTTCCTTAGAAAGAACATTTGAATTCAAGCGAATGAGTTCAAATGTAGTTCAAAGACTTTTCATATGATCTTTCATAGGTCATATGAATGATCATAGTCTATGTGATCATGAGCCTTCAGGCTGGATGCCTTTATTCTTGATAGCTCATCTTCTGAATTTCATGCAAAAATAATGCAAAATACTAAGTACATCCTAGACCTTCTATTCCCCTAAGATGTCCAGCTGTGAACTAAGATGGTTTAGTAGTTTCTTCTGTAAATTCTACTTTATTTTTGTACGTTATTTTTCCTGAGGAGCCCCTTTTTAAAATACAGTTTAAGTTGCAGTGTTTTAAAAAGCATGTACTTGAACTGCCTTGCGTACTTTTGCGTAGCCTAGTGAGAATAAAGTAAATAAATATTTTGTTACAATTGTTATTTGGATGAAACATGTTTCTGCATAATTTTGAGCTGTTATTTTGTTATTCTGTTTCTTGTCCTTTTTAATTCGAATTGTGAGTTAGGTGGACTCTAAACTCTGACAGTGGCCTCAGTCTTGCAGTAATCATTGCACAGGCATAATGTTCTGTTGAAGTCTACTTCTGTTTTCATTTATTTCTCCAAGATCCTTCCCAAGTAACATTTCTGGAAAGGAGGTAGTGTTTGGACGGAGTTTTGAAATCTTGTCATTAATATGGCCTGAATGATTTACAGAGAAATACTATTTAAAGCATTTGTGGCTGTTTAATGATATAATTTTTTCATTAGTTTGCCTGTTGCACATTTGAAACAAAATCAAATTTTACTTTTGCATGTGATCAGTAGTTGCTCTAATTAAGAAATTGTGTGACATTTGTGAGGATTAAATGCTTTTTTTTTCAGTGAAGTGCAGTGCCTGTAACTGACCACTACTTGTCAGTGTTTTACCGTCTTAAGCGAATCACCTTCCTAAATTACAATTGTTAAATTATATATTTTCAGGATCTAACACAACATGATGATACATTTATTTTGGCCTTTCTCTTGTCTGTCTTTTCTTTCTCTCAGTTTTTTGTATAATGTGCAAACTTATTTGTACTGTAGTATTACATATAACTATAATCATAGACTGATTATGAATCAGGAAGATATCTACGTGTATACTGACCATTAAGAAAGCTTGACGTATAAAATGTTGTATCTTTAAGTTTTGAATTTGCATTTTTGTTTTGAATCTTTAACCTGTCCTGTGCTGTGTGTAGTTGTAGAAAAACTATTTTCTGCACATTTTATGTCTCTTTTACCTTAGTGTGTATAGGTATATTTAATCAGCAATTACTGCAAATTAGAAAATAGCAATTAGTAACAAATTCATGCAAATTGTATATCTTATTTTTTTCTATATTCCTGATGTAAGCATGTTTCTGATTAGAAAGAAGAACAAGCATCGTGCTGGGGGTATTGACATGTATATGTGAATTGCTTTAACAACTGCATTTGTTGTGTAAATGGAAACTATTTTGCGATACTTCAGTGCTTCTTTTTCTTTGAATATAAAGACACCATCACCTCTTACTTTTTGTTTGCATTTTTACATCTATTTTCTAAAACAAGATCAAGTATCGTTCTTAAAAATGTTTTCTTTGCATTCTTTTCTCTGTGTTGGGTGTCCTGGATGGCTTTACAAAATTCTGTGCTTGGCTTCCAGGATTTTGGTGAAATGTGTCCATGTGTTCATGCTTGGCATGCTTTAGGTAAACAGAATCATCATTATTGAACCTTTTGCATCCACTGACTGTGGAGAGGCAAGTTATGTCTTAAGCTAGCAAATTGGGTAGGCCAGGAAGCATTTTATAACTTCCTCCTTGTGCAACTGTATGCTTAGATTCTCTTTGCCTCCCACTACAAATACCGTGAACTGCAAGAAGCTGGTGGACAGAGAGTGGGGTAAATTGATGGTCAAAAGTGTTATTGAACATTGTTTATTGCATATCTTTATCACTGATCTTTTTAGACAAACATAAACTTGATCTGTGCTCTGAGCCACCTGGATATTTTAGTGCATTGTTGATACTTGCTCTTTGGCTCTGTGCTATGCCAGCTGTGGCCAATGGTTTCTGTTTTGATTGTAGTTTGAATCTGACTCTTGCTTGGAACATGAGCAAGTCTCATACATATCTGTCACTGAAATAGCTAGGTAGTCCCTTTTTAACTGCCTGGCTGGTATGTTTAGGTAGCATACTTGGAGCCATGCTAATCACTAATGTAGCAAGTTAGGGAAGATATTTTCATTCAGATTAGGATGTGATACATTTTTGCCTTATTTAAATTATAGCTTGAGGCTTTTCTGCTTGTATGTTTGTGATAGTATGAAAAACTTACTGATCAGTCTCACTTTGAAAGAGCAAGTATCAGTTTGTGGTCTGTACACAGCTTTCAAAAAGTCTGGTTTTATTTAAAAAGAAAAAACAACACAGCAAAACCAAACTGTGACCAAATCCCAAACCCTAAGAAAAGTTAGTAGGCTTAAGTTGCTGTAAAAGTTATGATTTGCTCTTGAAAGATTATCATATGTTGGAAAGATTGAGAACTTGAGTTTTTTCACAATCATTCCCATAGTTTTCCTCATGTATAAGAAAAATTAATGTATGAAGCAGTAAGTTATGATTTTGAAGTTTTGGGGTTCAGTAGATGTTCTGTGTATGTGGATGAGGTATGCCAGTTACATTTGTATTCTAATGCTGTTTTATGCTAGTGAACTCTTTATAAAGACCTGTAAGAATTGCTCTACTTGGTCAAATTAGAAGTTCATCTAGCCTGACCACCCAGCAGGCAGTGGAACGTGTAGCTGGTCCTTCCCAAAGCCATGCTGTGATGACCTGTGTTCATGGAAGTTCTCTGTCTCCTTGTGGCCTCCTATATACCTGCCTCCTTCAAGGCCTTATCAACCTTGTCAGTCTCTTCCAGACCAACCCAGACACTAATGCTTTCAGAGGAGGATCTTGGTAGGAGAATCCTGTTGCCTGTAGGCCTGTTCCCATTCCTTGGTGCTTCAGCTTCTTTGGGCAGTGTCTGCCTGCTGTTTGGGAGCCATCAGGGAGGAGTGTGTGCTTGAACTGTTGTCCTTAGCATTATTTTCCTAGTTCCCATTTTTGACATTTGACTTCCTCAACCCCTTCTTTGGGTACAACAAATGAAATCAAAGAATCAGTTGGATCTTTACTTGTTTTGTTTGGTTTTTTCTTTTACCCCTCCCAAGAGAAAGCTTATATAGTGATCTTTAGTGGAGAAAAAAAACGAGTGTGGCCCAAAACAATAAGAGAGAATTATTTAAAAAGGAGTACAGAAAGGAGGCAAAACACAGAATTAGCTTTTACCTGTACAATTTCTGAATTGTCAGTAGCAGTTGACATTTGTCTGGCTGTGGATGACCAGGTGTTTCCATTTCCTGATGACATTTTGATTAACTGCTTGCCTGGCACCTACTGGTACAGTGCATGTTTCATGGTCCAAGCAGTGCACATGTAATATGTTTCATTTACTGTAACATTACTTCTTTTTTGCAGTATTTTAATTCTGGGGTATCTGTCTATATCTCTCTCTATGTATGAGCTGTTATTTTCCTTAAAATGAAATGGCTATGGGCTATTTTTACAATATGCAGAAAATAAAATGGAAGGTTATATTTATAGTATCAGTTACAGTAAAGGAAGCATTTCTGTTTGAAATTATTCCTATTTAATAGCCTGAATATCAGTCAGTGAAGTTGAAATGGCATATTTATTTCCATGGTTTCTTTTGGGAATTAGCATGTGCTACTGATGCAGAGATATTTTTTGGTTTCAGCAGGAATAATCTTTGAAAATTTTACTAGTATTCCTGAATCCAGCCCAGCTGTAATATTTTCTTTATGATTCTGACACCTCTAGCCAAATTTGTACATGAAAACATGCGTGTTTGGTACTATGTTAATTATTAATTTAGTGCCAAGAGTAAAGTTGGCCTAAAGTTGACTGTCTATAACAAAGCTTCTATTTTTGCTAGTAAAACTGATGGTCGATTGCAGTTAATAGGCATCATATATTCTAAGTAGGCTGTTCTGAACCAATACTTCTGGTCATTAAAAATAAAGACAAAAACACAATCCAAAACAAAAAACCAATGAACTTGGGTAATGCAAAACCAGCATTAGCTGAAGAGATGATCTTAGGCTTTTTGGGACTTCTCCCAGGAGCCTTTTTGAGTAAAACATGTGCATTGTTGAGTTTTATAATTGACTGGAATGATAGATTTAAATCTCTACTGAATACTTAGGAAGCTACCTTAAATGTGTTACAGTCTTCTATTATCTGATTAGAGATCAGTATGACTAAAAGTATAACTCTTTATGTGGCATAATATTTTCAATGGCATAGTTATGACTAATGTCTTCCATGGTCTCAGATTTTAATGTAAGCTGTTCAGGCAGAAGAGTAATCCAAACTGTACTGAAACCCTTAGGTTTTCTGAGGTGAGATTGTAAGAGGGAGGTAAGTATATAAAGCCATTTATTTTCTCCAGAAAGCTACTTTTAAAACCAAAACTTCTAAAGCTGAATGCCTGACTTCACTGAAGTTGATTAATATCTTGTATTCTGTTTTCATACACTGAAATTGCTCTTTAGTGTACAGTGAGGAGAAAATGTTCAAAAACTGAATGAAATGGCACAATATTTATAGGGACAGATTTCAAGGAAGATAAGAGATTTTCCTGTAAATGTAAAATGAAAATGCTGCTTGGGAATGACAGACTGGGAAAAAGAACTTCATTTCTGGAAAGGCTATGTGTTTTTGTTATTGTTCTGTTGTTGTTTCAGTGAGTAATTATGGAAGGAATAGATGTAGTTATGCTTCAAGATATGGGATGAAAGTAAAAGATATGTGCTCAGGTACCTAATTAATTGATTTATGATTAGTGTGAAAAATACTTGGTCATGTTGAGCAGATAAAAACTGTGATTTATAAACAGTTACAGAAATTCATGGCAATTTATCAGTATGTGGCTACTGATCTCTTTCAGCTGATGTTTCTAAGTTATATTTAAAATGACCCAATGATGTTACCATAGTTTGAGATATCTAAACTTGATGTATCTGTCATGTCTAATACTTCCTTTGCCAGTGATTAGCTGTGTTTTGCAAATAGTGTTGGTTTGCAGAGGGACAAAATTTTGAAAGTGATATTTAATGCATTGTATTTTTGTAAGATGGTTTAGAAAGTGTACACATGTGATTTTAGATACCTCAGTCTGAGAGAGAATGGGAAAAGTCCCCATGGACTTGTTTTATTTTTTTTGTTATTGTTGTCAGGGAAGGGCACATCAGTGTTGGTAGTTTTTGATCAGGAAAGTTTCAGTGGATTCAGTTGTAGTTCTATGGCTTTAAGCATCTGTCCAGATTCAGAAGAAATAACCTTTTCCTTTTTTTACTTTTGACTTCTCACACAACCTTATGGTAGTGTTTTCTTGACTACAGCGCATTGAATTTCATAACATGCACACTTTATGTTAGAGAATATGTTTTTTTTCTCTGATACGTGCACAACTAATCTGTAGGGGATCTCTTGAGCCTTTTAGACCTTAATCTAAAGGTGTTTGGGGTCAGCTTGTGAGTGTGGAGCTCTATACATCGGAAGGATGTTAGTGCTGCTTTAGACTTTGTGTTTGTCCCTGTTCTCTGCATGGGTGTGTTTATGTATGCATGAACTTATATTTATCTTTTCATAACAATATACATTGGCTTTACATGGCAATGTATTAGATGCAGACAGAAAGCATTTGTCTAGATCTTCTTTATTAAATGTATCAGCAGATTCTTTATTTTAACAACCTTGGAATGATGGCTTCTGTAAATTTTCGATGAAGTTTGCAATATATTTTTCTCCTCTAAAGGTTTTAAGGAAGCAAGATGTTAAAGCAGATGAAACAGAACTCATGAGAAACAAACTTGTGAAATATGAAAGCGAAAAGCACCAGGTAAGACTTAATTTTTTCCTTTTTGTTTGGTTTTAAATGAGTGTATAGTGTCATCTGTTGCAGTATATGCTTCTTTTTTCTGAGAAACCAGCAGAACAAAACTTTCTTTAAGAATTCAAGGTGTGGGATTTTTTTCTGCATCAGAGGCACTGTGACTACAGCTATGCTCAGTTTTTGTCTCTCCTTCAAAGCTCTCCAGTTATAGTATGTTACTTCTGATGACTCTTCCATCCTTCCAGGCAGACAGATTTATAACTTGGGCATTATCCTTGATTTCTTTATATATTTTGTCTCTGAATTTGTATGTAGTCTGCTGTTGCTTATTTGCAGCAACTCAAAGCAACTTTTCTTCATCCCTGCAACTAACTCATGCTGGTTATTTTGCACCGTAGTTATTATTAATTACTCTTACTGAACTGTTGCCATATTTCACTCTTTCTTTTCATAGAAAACAAAATTTCTTGTATTTCTATTCTAGTAGGATGCTAGGGCTGTATTATGCTTTCCCTGTTTTTTTTTCCACTTGCATCAAGTTTAGCATCTTTCAAAGGTATACCCCTTTATGCTAAGCATTTATGTAGTGTAGTGTTTTACGTTATGTTGTTCTCTTCATTCCCTTAATGTTGGTCCTGTTTACTTTGCCCGTTTGCCAGGCTTTCAACATCCTCCTTGTGATTGCTATCTCAACAATAACCATTTCTGCTGTCAAAACCTCTATTTATTTCCAAGTGGATCTTTGAACTATTTATGGAAGAAGTCATCAAAAAATATTTGAAGCTTTTGCTTTCGTTTCTTTTTTTTTTTTTTTTTTTTAATGGTCATCGGTGTGATGACTGTTTCTGGTTACACATTTTGAATATTATGTTTTTAGGAAAACTTTCAGTTTTATGAAATTTAGGGCACTTCAATTTTTTGGTCATCTTGTTTCCAGAATAATTCAAATACATCATCTTGCACAACACAGAAACCCCATAGATTTTACCAATTACAGTTCTACCAATGCATGTCATCTTTAACACTTCTAGGAATAAACTATTTACCAAACGTGACTTAATATTTTAAGTCATTATTAATTTTGAGTTTGAAACTATGTTTCAAATCCAGGGACAATGTTTTTGAAACTTTGTTAAAACTTATCTTCCATTTTTTTACTTTAAACCCAGTAAAAATTTGCTTTTGTGATTTTTGTTTTAGGTGATATAAATTATTTTATGTTTTTATATGACCTAGAATATTGTACAAAAATTATAGACTGTAAGTAAAATTCTCTGTATGTAATTTAAATAAATATTGCAGGGATTTAGTACAAATGAAGGTTTGCTTAAAATTTTGGACAAATAAAAATACTGTGTATATTATACCACATTTTAGATAGATGCTTATATGGATGAATTTGTGTCAAAATTAAATGTTAAAATACACTTTTATATTATGATGACTACATTGCTTTTCTTTCTTCATCATCCTCTGAAATAAAAGCTTGAGCAGGAATTGGAGCAGTCCCAGAAAAAGTTGAGTGAATCTGAAGGCAGTAGAGAAGCTCTTTTGCATCAGGTAACTGCTTTAGTGTAGTAAAAATCCTAAGGTTTTCATATTAGGTTGTGTCTGAGTCTTTTTATTTAATATTCTTATCTCATACTGTGATAAAATTGTTTTATGAAGGAAGACATGAGGTATAGGAAGACAGGTTTGAGTGTGTGTGATATGTGGACTGAGCTCGTTATACTTCTTCTGCTTTCCAAACTTTTATGTGTATATGTTCATGTGTATTAATTATAGTAGTGATAGTAATGGTATGTTTTCAGTGCATAAAGACATGATGTGAAATTTCCTTTCATAATATGCTTTAGAACTACTCCTATATTAGTAGTCACTGTTCTGCAAAGCATGTGCTATAATTGGTGAAATGAGATAAATCAATGACCTAGAAGTATTTGCTACATTGTAACATGCAATAAAAGCAAATAAATACCTGAAAAAGTATCTAAAGTGTGCTAAAAATAATAGCTATTGATGTATGTATGATTAAACTTAAAATTTGTAGGAATTTGGATTATAACTTTAGAAAAAAAGTCCTTTCTCCTAAACATCTTTCCTTTAGAGGGGCTGGATAAAAAGACTGAAATAACTAGGGAGGGGGCAATTGGCATTCTCATCTTTTAGCATTAGTTATTTGACTTGTGTATCTAGCAGAAGTTTGAGTTAGCTATATTACTGCTTTGAATTTAAGTAATTGTGAATGGAATATAGAGTAATATGAATTAGAGGTATTTTTCTTCAATTCAACTTTAGCATGTTGGATTTTCTCTATTTTCCTACACATTGTCATCTTTCTAATAGTATAGTATAGTGCTATACTATATATGATAGAAAGGAAAAATGTGAAGAGCCCCTGTGTTTCTTATGAATATATACATTGTATTTTTAAAGAGCACAATTTAAATAAAACATACTGTTTATTAAATTTGTGTAGACATTTTCACTAGCTATGTAAAAAGACAGTTGCAGCATATAATATGGTAGCATTTTGTTTGGTCTAGAGAAATTAATGCCCATCTGTGGTCAACATAAATTGTTTCCTTTAATTTTGAATAATGAATTTGTGGCCTATAGGAAGTAGTTTGTCTTTTTGTTTACCATCTGCAGTACTCTCAAGATGTATTTTTATAAATATTTTTTGTGTGTAGTATTTTTTTAGGATTTAATAGAAGAATGGTATTCATGATTTTTGTTGTTTTTCATTAAACTTTTGATGCTTGTGCATATATTTTAGATTGAGGATCTTCGTTCTCAGCTTTTGAGAGCAGAAGAAGACCGTGTAGAATTGCAACATCAAATCTCATATGCTGCTATGCGTCGCCAGAGCTATCAGGATGTACAAGATGATGACAGGAGAATTAGAGCAGGTACAACTAATATTTTGCACAGGAGACCTGCAAGCTAGTTAGTAGGCATGGACATTAATTTTATCTTAGAGCTGCAGTCTAATTCTCCTGTTGTTTTGACAAAACCAGCCAATTAATTCCTCAGATTTAAGTTAATATGTATTGGCACCTGAATATTAACAGGCAAATAGCAATGACAGTTAATTTATGGTAAAATATTTTGATTTGCGTGGTTAAAACAAATAAGACAGTTTTAGCAAACTGAATAGTGTTTTTACAGAAGAATATTGTGTATTATTTTTAAATAATAATTTTCCAGAAAAGTTGCATTTCAGTCCATTTGCAGTTTGATTTCTGCCATCTTGAAAATCATGATAGGAGTCATTGATTAGGTAGTTAATAAGGCTGATGGCTTTCTGGTAGAATTTCTAAGCCACATGTCCCTGAATGGTTAAGAAAATTTTTCTGTATGATACAGTCAGGGCTTCTGTCTGCACTATGTTAGAGTTTTAGAGTTGGAATAGTTTTATTTAGAAGATGAATACTTTAAACAATTTGAAGATATAATTGCATATTAAATTACCACTTTAGCAAGGTCTGCAATTAATTGCTAGTTCTCTATCTGTATTTAAAATAGGCATTAGAGAAAGTCTTTATCGTTCTTCTTGTTACCATAGCAATGTATTACTCAAGGTAATAGAGAAATAGTGACTATTCTAGAGTCCAGTGTCTCTGGGACTATTTAATTGGTTTGGCTAATGACATATTTTCGTATTTTTGTACTTCACCTTCTGAATTATCTTGGTTTTTAAAATAGACCTCTGACTCTGTGTTTTACAAACCTCATGCAGAGCACTGGAAATGGGCTTACCTTCAGAAGTGTAATGCAAAATAATAATCTCAATAGTTTTTTCTCCAATCATGTTAATGTATCTGCTTAAAAGCTAGTTTATTTGAAACAATATGCCTTTCATATTAATAAAAGCTTATTTTAACTTTCCTATTGATCTTATAAATCAAAAGAGTTGTAAAAATATGAAGAAAATAAAAATGTAATGTAACTCTTAAAATACGTGCATACATTTATATAATTTTTGCTGTTGTGTCTCACCTTGCTGTGTTATTCCTGTTTCATCAAAGATCTATGGGTAGAAGACAAGTAGAGATTTTTTTTTCCTTTTACCTCTAGTAGTTATTTATGACTTAAGACCTTTGAATTTCTGATTGAGAGAATTTATAGCTTACTCTTATCAAAATCTTTAGTTTTAGTTTCAGGATTCAGACATAAAATTCTCAGATAATGTGACTTTCAAAGTGGGAGGTATTCCTCTGGTGAGATAAAAACTTGGCCTTGAAGCTGATGGCCAAATTTCATTTACACCAGAACTTGGCCACTGTTTCTTCCATCCTATTTTATTTTATTTTATTCAGTTTTGCTGCGGCTTTGATTGTTTTGGTTGGCTGTTTATTTCAGGAGAGCAGCTGTGTGCAGGGGGAAGAGTGGAAACCCCTATAAAATGATGGAAAAATACTGTTTTATTCTGTTATTAAAATGTTATTAGTTTATGATACAGGTATACCATTTTTTCACAGGTGTTTTGATGAAAATCAGTAGTTGTAGAATAGTCTCAAGTGGAGAAACAAATTGCCAGAAATTGAGATAAAATTAATATACCATGAGTTGGTATTTCTACTGAATGTGTTGCTCTGTTCTTACTGTTTTACAGTAGCTGAAAGATATGAGAGAGAGAAGCAAGATCTAGAGAAATATATTTTGGAACTTAAAGCAAAGCTGAATCACAGTGCTGTAATGTCAGAAGTAGAAGAACTGAAGAGATCTATAGAGCGTAAGGACAAAGAGAAAGCACAGCTTGTAATGCACATACAGGTAAGGTGGGTTTTGTTGGTTTTTGCTTGGTAGTGTTTTATTTTTTAAATAATTTTTCATCTGTTTAACATTAGGTGATATATCAGGGATTAACCTTTGAAACTAAGAGCAACTGTCATGCTCATTATTTATTGTGTAAAGAACTTTGAAAAATTATTTGAATTTGCCAACTTTTTTCTCTCCCATGTAATACCAAAAAAGGTATTTGCGGTTGTCTATGATTTCATGGTTTGGATTACTTCTCTTTCCCACATGCAAAGAAAAGTTGATCTGATTTTATCAGCACTTACCGTTAATAATGGTTTTTGGAACTACTTTTATAAGGTAGTACTTTCTTATTCCCCATTTCATCATTCCTCAGAACTGAAGTTCAACTTTAAAACTTGAGATACCTTGTTCTCTGCGAGAGTGTAGTAGAGTAACAAAAGTAGGTTACAATTTCTGTTTTTTTAGTAATTAAATTCAATATAGTAATATAATCATAAGTAATAGTAGTCTTCTTTATGGTAAGCATATCATAATGTTTAATGTGATTCTCTATGAGAAGGATAACAGCAGCCTTTTGTAGTGAAATTTTAGTTAGAAGACTTTGACCATAAAATGAGATCTAAGTAGGCAGTAGCGTTCTTATTTAAGATGGGAAGTTTCTGTATTGCTTGTTCTTGTCTAGATTTGTCACTGGTAGTAGAATGGCTGAACAGTAACGATTTTCTTCTGTCTCCTGTGACTGTCAGGAGAAAAGAGTTTGTTTGCAAAACCATGTGTATTACTTTAGTAGTCAAGGACTTCACTTTTTGTGTTTTGGTGTTCCGTAAGCAAGGGATTTTGTATTTATTTTCCTGATGTAGATACTTATCTATGAAATGATATTGCATCACTTTGGAAATTCAAATGTAGGAATTTTTTTGTCTTCATGGATTTTCATAGATTTACAGGACTATACTCCTCATTTGACTTCTTTTGCTCCTTTACCTTGTCAGCTTCTCTGCTGATTTAAATCAAACTAATACATCAAATTACATTTGGAAAAAATGGCCTTCTTAAAAGTTCCTACATGCTTTATGAAATTTGGTCATTGAATAGGCTTAGAAAGACCTAAAGTGTTTCTGTAGAGGGTAAGATGAGCAGAACTTGTTTCCTGGTGTCCATCAGCATTTATATTCTAGCTGGTCAATAAAACCTATGACTAATGGAAAACATTCTGGGTTTTTATTTTGTTGTGCCTGAGAAACTAATTATTTTGGTGACAGGAATTAATGGGGTAAGAACCCACATAAAACAAATTATTTTAAACTTCTGCTTGTAGAACATGCTTTCTTGAGGGTCAGAATGATTTTATAATACTAATTTCCTGCCCTGAAAATACTCATGCAATAGTGCTCAGTTGGGGTCATTGTCATTTCTCTGAGTTAGAAATCTTTGACTTCCCTCATTTTCTCAACAGAAAATACTTTGTACTTCTTATCTGCTTCCCACTGCCTTTCTCCTACAGGGGCAGTAACAGGAAAATAACTAGTGTGTTTTTCTTTTAATGAGACATCAAGGAATGCAAGGATGTGAATTTCTAAACTTGTGTACTAACAAAGCATTTTGTCAAGCCTGTTCTAACAGCTGCTCCTATCAGATAGTCTGATTCCCAGTTGGAAGTGACCAGTCATGTTTGACTTGGGTGTGATTTATCTTTGTTTAGTGGGGAGAATCTAACTTGCCTCTGATGTACATGTGATACTAGAAATTTCTTTTGATTTATTAAAATACCATTGTTTGCAACAATTTGAGTTGTGTGCGTTGAACCTTTAGCCTCCAACAGTTGCCATAAAATCACAGTGTGATGTAAAATGGAGAGGATGAAAAAGGTTAAAACGTATTCTTAAGCTCATGTTTAGAAGTGAATTCAATCTTAAATTAGTTTTAAAATTGAATATTTATTTCAGCTACTCTAGTTTACATAAGGGAGTGGTTGTGAGATCTTCCAAATGTATTTAACTGTCTTAAATACATTTTTCTGCATGAAGCCAAATAGATACGGGGCTGTTATGGCTAACGATTAAGACTGAACTATTATAACTAAGAAATAAACAAAGTACACAATTTATAAAGATGTAATACCTTACTTTCTCCATAAGTGTTTTTGGACTCTTTGGAGTCTTTTTGACTCTTTTAGCCTGAGAACTTGTTTGATTTACTAATTACTCTTCATTTGGATTTGGTGTTAGTATTCTTATAGTATTGTCTAATACAGCAGTCAGTTTGTCAAAATATTTCAGTTTTTCTGAGGGGAAATTATTGATATGTTTAATTAATGTTAGAATTCTTCTGTAATATAAGTCTTTCAGTTTTATAAATATTGATTCATATTCTCACTAAAATTTACTTTTACTTTTTCTTCTACAAATGAAGCTGTTAGCCAATTAAATGCCAGTAGAGCAAGCCCTTATAGAGCAGAAAGAATTTTGGCAACTTCACCCATGTTAACACAGAGATGCACATTTATCATACATAACTAGGAATTCGAAAGCACAGATCACTACACTTGAATCTCCTGTTTTGATATAGAAACAGAGTGTGGAGATACTTCCTCTGTCCACTTGCTTGACAGGGTTGGCTTAATAAAATGTTGACTTGCTATGATGCTGTTTTCTACCTGATTTCAACTGTTGGGTCTGTGCTGGCTTAACTTTTTTAAGCAAAGTGCAAACTCTTTGTTAAGGTTTATCTAATTTACACATATTGTAAAAATAAAACATTAAAAGTCATTTTATATTGGTACATCCATGTCAAAATCCAGTTTTCCTCCCCATGCAAATAGCACATGTTGATAAATTAGTTGTGCTTCAAGGTAAATATCTAAAACAAATGTTCCTCTTTTTATTGTACTGTAAATCAATAAATTGGAGGCTGATTTACTTCTACACAATAAGAGGAATGTTTACAGTTAATTGAATGTTATTTTCTGTGTTTAAAATTAGACTCATATTTCATTAAAAAGGTTGTGTGAGTGGTAGTTTTGTTAATGAAGTGTGTACTCTGGGGGGAAATATATATAACTATTAATTTAAATAGTTATAACTATATAGCTATTTTTTAATGGTGCAACATTGAGTACTACATCAATTTAATCTGACATCCTCTATGGTGTCTCCGGAAAGACATGAAATAGGAAGTGATAATAGCATGTGTAATCACATGACTGAAGAAATGATGACCCGTTTTAGAAAATTTGTGGAACAGTAAATGTAATATCTGATTGTATTTTATGAGGCTATTTTTAACTTCTGCTATACTAAATTTAAATCTTTGTCTTGAAAGAAGTATTGTCATCTGTTTTCATTGGAAATTAAGCTTGTTTTGATTAAAATTTGGCTAGTTGTAGCTTGTGAACTTGTTTGGTTATCTTTTTAGCACAGCAAATACTATCTTGAAGAGATTGGTACAATTTACTGCCTCCTAGGAGGTGTTGGCTGGTTTGGACGGAGAAAAAAACCCCCAAACTAACAAAATTACAAGGAGAGAACCCTTACCAACAAACCCAAGTCTCCCTCCTTTCCCCAACCTTGTGGGAGTATCTTTGTCTAAATTGTCATTCTATATCCATTTGTAAAGTTGCCCATTCTTTCATAGATAAAATATTTTTCCATTGTCCATTCTGCATTGTGGTCTGTTTATTTCAGGCTGCATCTGCCATTCTTTTTTCAGTCATTCTGAAATCTAATCCTCTTTAAAGTATTTCAATCTCTTGAGGCTTGATAATATGTTTGACTGGCTATAGATCAGGTCTATAAAATTTATCTTTCATTAATGAAAAGGCTGAATGGTATGAAAGCAGTCTAAATAGGCCCAAAATGCAGAAAACTAATGTGAATTTCTGTGTGATGATCTCAGTAAAATACAGTTTTGTTAGTGTACCTTCAAAAACTGATTTCTGAGCATGTTCTTCCAGAAGGTGTATGGACACTATTATTCCTGAGTTTCTTATGAGACTGTTCAGAGAAATATGATTTGAGAAATGCAGCATCTTTTATTTTTAAAAGGTGTATTTTCAATTTAATTCATTTTTGGAAGGCTTATATATGCCTCCTACATTTTCAAACATCTTTGCACTTTGTTCTAGAGGCATTTGCTCAGCTGCTGTAGTCTCTTTGTATTCAGTGCTATCAAATATACCTTTATTTAGCACATTGTTTTCATAAAGGCAACTGGCATAAAACTGGGTAACAACTAGCTCATAAACTATAAATTCCAGTGGTTGTGGTGAATGCTGTTTTGTCCTTTCCAGTTCTCCTTTTTCTCTCATCTGTTTACATTAATCTCCTTATATATTACTATTTGGTTTATTTCTTATTTGTGTAGTGTGTAATATATGGCCAATGATTGATCTCAAACTTACAGTACAGAAAAATAAGAAGAACAACTAGAGGAGGAACAAATGCAGAAAGAATTGATTAGTGTGTATTTTATGCCTTGTGTTGGCATTCTTTACCATTCCAGAGGGGGAGATTCTCTGGGCTAACAGGACTTCCCTTGATAGTCAAGAAGATCTTTATGCTGTTCATATTTAATAAAAATGTGATTTAATGTTGCTGTATGTTGTTTGATAAAGTTTCATACTGCATATCTTTAGAGAATGTTTGTATTTTGCTATGGTGATTCCAGGTGTTAACATCTGACCTGGAAAACAGGGAGAAGCAGCAGGAGAAAATGCTGGACCAGCTAAAGGAGATAGAGAATTGCTACAAGGCTTGTGAGAATGGACGCAGACAAACTGAACTCCAGTCTGCTGAGTTAGCTCAACAGGTTGAAGAGAGTACCAAGGAAGCAGAACGGTATCTCACTGAATTCAAGCACTCAGAGGCACTCAGGCTGGAGATTGAGAAAAAAAGAGAAGATTTGAAGGTGAGAGCCCAGGAAACCATCCGCCAATGGAAACTGAAGTGTAAGAAGTTGGATCGTGAAATAGAAAAGCAAAATCAAACTGTCAGTGAACTGATGGACAAGAATAGTCAGGTAAGATTGGTTGATGTTTTTTGGTACCCTTTCCCTTTGTTTTAAAAACGAAGAGAAGGAGTTTGTTTATGCAAAGTGACTTAAACGGCTTTCTGGTTTAAGTTCTGGACCTCTTCTGTATAATTTTCAGAACTTTTTCTTTGAAAAATCAGTTTGAAAATTCATTGTGTAACATTTTTGGGCTTCTCGTTTGTTCTGTATGACAGACCATTTATTCCCTTTTTCCTCTTCTAGAGTTTCTCATGAAAAAACATAGGTTTTTTGGGTTTTGACTTAGAAGAATTCCTTTATTTGTTCAGCTGCTGACACTGTTTTAAAGACAAGCATTCACATCAATGCTAATGTTTATCATCCTGTATTGGAATAATAGTAGAAACCACCATTCTGTTGGCAGTGAGTCTGTGGGTCTGTATTTTCCAGTGGATGGATCAAAAATTGCTTGTTTCTATAGTGGCTGATATAGTGCTTAACTCTGTGCTGTGAGCTTTTATCTTGACTTACATGCTCTGCTGGTGCAGTCTATCATATTGTATGGCTTTTGTTTTACAGTGCTGTACCCTCTTTTCACATATTTTCTTATGGCATCCATCCAGTTTAAGTTACTGAATGTGATGGGCTTGAGATGGCTCTATCCTCTGCTTTGTCTTGCTCAAAGATTGAGGTTTTCAAGGGCTAAATGAGATGCAGCATGGGATGTCTATTAATCCTGTGTTGTTTCTGATCCAGTGATCTGTTCTAGTTTGGTACACGAATATGAGCATAGTCAAAACACAGGAGAAGTCATAATGGGGCTATTACTGAGTTGAAATTAATAAACTCTAGCAAATCTAAACTGTGATTCCTGGTGTTGCTGTTTCTCTCCTACTGCCTATCATATTCCTTAATTTTTATTATTATTTCCTCTATCCATGCTCCAACAATTCATTCTATAGTAACCTTGTATTTGTTAGCCCTAGCGCTTGTCTGGAAAAGTAAGATTCTCAAACATTTAAGAAGTTGGTCGCTCTGGCCTAAGAAAATGGAGGTTGTAAGGAGGGGAAGAAAACCTGAATAATTTCAAAATCATGGATGTCTGTCAAAGGGACAAATAAGAAGCAAAAAGTAGAGACAAGTTGTGAATAAGAAGCAATAGGTCCCAAAAAGGTTCTGGAATCACTGTTCTTGTAAACACGTAGGCTGGTCTTTGTAGATGCACTTGATAACACTGCCCACGTTGAAATTTTCTTTGTTATGTAAGATTCCTTGATATGGATTTTACCTCTTTTTATGTGGCAAGTATATTCACATGCTAAATGCAGTAGTTAAACTTTGGCTTAAGCTCCATTTAAGAAATGCTGTCAGTATTTGTTCTTAAAGTTGTGACCATCCTGCTAACAGGTTTGTGGTAATTGTCACTGGTGAAGAAAGTTTGTTTATTTTAAGATATAGAAGAACAAATAAACTGTTTGTCATTGTGAAGGAGAAAAAAGTGCAAATGATATTTTATGGTCTCGATATAAAGTTGGAAACAATTTACTTATAGGGATATAATCAATCTAGATGCTGTATTTAGTATAAGCTTGACGTAACTAGATGAACATAATTTAACTAGCTTTGAAATACAGACAATTAACATCTGAGACAAAAATCTGTAAAAACAATAAAGGAAGAAATGGCAGTTTGTTGTCTTTTATTTCTGTTAGAAGACTTCAAAGGGTTGATGGAAAATTTTCAAAATAGGGTTGCAGTCATAGCTTGCAATTTTGAGATTTTTGAAATATTGGCAGACAATGGATGTGCTATAGAAGGATTGTTTAGGTTTCATTCTTTTGAAGTTACTGGGATAATTTGGTTGAAGTTTTACCCATGTAGTTGTCCTTAATATTGTTTGACAGTGGAGTTTCTGGCATCTTTTGAAACATATGTTCTTTAAAGTATGTAATGTAGAAAACATACACAAAAAAAAAAAACTTATGGGTTGTAGTTTGAAATTTTACTGGAGTTTTGTTTTTTTGGTTTTTGGTGGTGTTTTGGGTTTTTTAAGCCAAATCCTTTGAGTAGAATTACAAGATAGGTTTAGGAAGGTCTTTTTGTCTGGTAGGTTTTTTTCTGGAAAAACCCATGATGGTCATCAGTCCGTGTCCTCAATTTATTGTATTTGTATTTTGCTTTGTGTTGCTTGTTCTTGATGTAATTGCAAATTGTTTTATTATTTTTAACTGCACACTTTTAACCCTAATTGCCTTTTTTTCTGTATTGTTTCAAGTAATTTTGCTATATCCATAAGAAATGTGTGTTGCTTGTGGAATTGGTGAAAATGCTCAGTAAAATTTAGTATAAAATTTGTTAAGTCAGTTTAAAGAATTTGATATATTGGAACAGATTGCCCAAATTTGTTGCATAGTTTCCCTCACTGAAGTTATTCAAGAACCATCTGGATGCCATCCTGTGTCTGTGTTCTAGGATAAGTCTGCTTGAGCAGGGAGGTTGGACCAGATGACCCACTGTGGTCCTTTCAAGCTTACATATTCTGTGATTCTGTGCTAATTTTAACATGAAATATATCAGTGGTGGAAAAATCACCCAAGCCCTGAAGATCCTAGGAAAACACTGGAATTTTTGTTATTTTATTACACTTGATTGATTTCTGTTTGGGAGATGATGTCATTATTTCTTGGCTTTGATGCATAAGTGAACCAAGCTTTTAACTGCTACTAATTCATCTACTGGGCATAATTTCAAAAATAAGTTAAAGTTGGTATACTTTCTATGTAATATTTTAGAAAATAAACAAAATAAGTCAGCACATGGAATGGACTGTAGGCACGGTGTCTATATCCAGTAGTCATCCCTGTATGCTGCTGCATTACTCTGTTACCTCATTTTCTCCCTCTTGCTATTTGGAGGAACCAATAAGGAAACCCTTCTCAGTCTGTAAAGAGAGAGTATGAGAAGCAGAGAATTAACCAGAACTATCTTTATTTAGAAGGATATATAATTTAAGGACAAGTCCAAGTTTGAGATTGCACACGATCTATGTGTAAATTTAAAGAAACACTGAGTACATTTGAACTGAGTTCGTAGCAAGCAAAAATTTTATATTTTTGCTTACATATGTTAATTGTTCCATAGACATTCCTGATGTCTAACGACATCCTTCCAACAATTGTCTTTAATTACTTCAGCTCAGAATAGATTTTTTTTTTTCTTTCCTAGGCCCTTAAAGAAAAAGATGATCTTAAAAGTCAGCTTCTCTCAGCTATAAACCAGATAGAAAACCTACGGAAAGAGCTGAATGATGTGCTTACAAAGAGAGCTCAGCAGGAAGAACTTCTCCACTGTAAAGAGGTAAAACTGAATGAAATGGAGTCACACCAGGTATCTCTTGAAGAAGAGATCAAAGAAGTTCAAGGTACTGTAAAAAAATTGGAGAATGAGTTGAAAAATCAAGTCTTCCTACAAAATCAAATGCAAGCTGAGAAGGAACACTTGAAGACAGAACTTGCAAGTATTAACTTGTTTCATAAAAAAGACCAAGAACGACTCCTGGAAATGCAAGCAGATGTAAAACATTTAAGCACTGTACGTGTGGAACTAACAAACAGAATTGCAGAAGAGGAGAAAGCCAAAAAGGAATTACTCAAGAGCCTCTCAGACCTCCAGAAACAGCAGGAGTCTAGTCATGAAGAGATGATTTCAGCTAACAGGCAGCTGAAGATGGAAAGAGAAATTCACCAACAGGAGTTGGCAGATCTTAGATCAGAATTACAAAATGTGAAAATCAAACATGAACAAAATGTTCAAGAACTCACGAAACTCCTTAAACAAGAAAAAGATGATGCAGAGGCTCAAATTAGAATGCTAAAGGTACTTATTGTGAAGAATTCCACTGTCAGACTTTCCCCCTCCTCCCACACACCCCACACACAGCCCCTGCCATTGAATGATGAAGGTAATAAAGCATGGGCTTTAAAGCACTTAACACACATGTTATTGAAAGCCATTGTAAGAGTTTAAAGCTCAGGGTAAAAGTGTTACAGTACCAGTTTTAGGTCAAAATCTTAGTTCAAAAATAGTAAAATAGATATGATCAAAACAAAAGGAAATTACAATGCTGTAATGTTTTAATATGGCAGGCAGGTGAAGCCCCACGTGACTGGAAAGGGGGAAGCATTGTACCATACAGTCACCCCAGGACACCATCTTTTAAAAGGGTAGAAAGGAGGACTGTGGGAGCTCTGACCTGTCAGCCTTCTCTTTTCTCCTGGGAAGATCATGGAACAAAACCTTTTAGAAGCTATGCTTAGCCACATGGAGGACAGGGAGGTGATTTGACACAGTCAGCACAGCTTCACCAAGGGCAAGTCCTGTCTGACCAACCCAGTGGCCTTCTCTGATGGAGTGACTACATCAGAGGACAAGAGAAGGGCTACAGTTGTCATTTATCTGGCCTTCTGTAAAGTGTTTGACACAGTGCCCCACAACACCCTTCTCTCTAAATTGGAGAGAGATGGATTTGATGGGTGGGCTGTTAGATAATAAATTGGCTGAATGGTCACATTCAGAGGGTTGTGGTCAGTGGCTCAGAGTCCTGATGTACAGCAGTGATGAGTGCTTTCCCTCAGGGATCTGTGTTGGGACTATTGTTTAGTTAAGTAATGTATCATTCATGACTTGATAATAATTCTTAAGCAATTGGTAACATAGAAACCTTTAAGTGAAGAAAGCAATAAAAACCCCCTAGGTGGTTATTAGTAGAAGGATCATTAAAATCAAATGTTTTGACAGCAGTGCTTAACATTGGAGACCTAATTTTTAGTGTGTATGTCGTTATTTAAGTGGTCTGTCCAAAAGTGGTTTTTTCTTTAGCAATGGCATAGAAATTAATAGTGTACATTTGATCTCAAGTGGAAAGAAGGAAAGTGTATTCTGGATGGTAATAAGAAAAAGTAAGTTGATTGTGACTTTGTTTTTCTATGAAACAGCAAATCCTACAGGTAGGACCTTTTTATTTTTACTGATTGTTGAACCTAAACCAGAGTATTAGAAAAATTCACTTTCATATTTCGTTTGCAGTTCCATGACTTCCCCAGAATCCTAAACTGGCATATATTTAAGAGCAGAAGGTTTGAGGGAGATGAATTTTCCAAGATATTAGGGTAGGCCAATTTTTTAGAAGTATACACAACGATAATGCACAAGGTTCTCGTGATTAAGAGACTGTAGATGAAACAAAATAGAAAATCATATGCATCTCTAGGAAGATCTGATGAGAACATGTCATCCTGCAGGTGGTTTGGTTACTTTTTGTCTGAACTCATCATTACATTGCATTAGGATTTCAATTTTATGGACATACTTTTCTTCCAAAGTAAGGTAAACTTAACATACATTTTATCTTTTTTCCCCTTTTTTTTTAAAGTATTTTGTTGTTAGAGTAGTGTTTAGCGAAATCCAACAGAAAATGTTGGGGTTTTTTAACCTTTTATTTTTTTTTTCAATCTGCTAAGATTTTGTGTCTAGCAACAAGCTGTCTTTTACTGTACAATAATAATTGATCTTATTTACACCTCAGCTGTGTCCAGCCTTTGTGACTGTTTTTGGAAAGGAATATACCTATCCTGTCCAAAGATCATTAAAGATTTAAAAATAAAGGTCAGTTGAGAGAGACTTGAGGAGTGAAGGGAAATTGAATATATTTGTAGAATCCAAAGCCTTAAACTTAAAGAGGATGCATTTATGAGTTACTTCCAGGAAATCAAGGGTAGAGAGTCCTGTGTTTAGAGAACTAACTTCTGCATAGATTGTAAAAAGGAGTGACTTTCAATTTTAGTTGTTCTTTCCTCTCTTGCCTCCTCTGTATGGTACTTTCTGCCTGACTTTTGCCTTGTTTTCTGTAGTGCAGTGCTGGATTGCAAAATTGTTAAGTGGTTAAGGATTTTTTTGGGTAGTAGGGAAGGTACCATAAAAATACTGTATGATGCAAGAGAACTGGAGAAGAACATAGAGTTTTTTTGAGGTACCAGTGTTAAGAAGGATCTTACTGTTTCATTACTGAGGTTCTGATGCTTAAACTTTTAATTTGGTTTCTGTTAGAACATCCTAAATGATTCCCAACCAATGCCTCTGTGATGTCCTATTTGGTATTTAAAAGGATTGATACACTAGGCACAGGAATTCAAGTGGTTTGCTTAGTGATCCCCATTTGGCTTTGTGCTCAAAAACTCTGGATCTGTCGCCTAATTTTAATACATACCCTCATTTGCTTTAAAAACATGCTTGTTTTCTTAGAATGATGACACAAAATTTCTTGCTGCCTGACAGTATGGAAGTATTTGAAGTATTAATCTTCAATCTAAACTTATACAGAGATATGTATTTATACATATAAAATTGTGTATATGTGTATATTTATTTGTAAATTATTTTCTCTACATTTTCCCATTGTGCCATCCATTTTTTCCTGAAGATTATTCAATGTTGAATTTGGGTTCAATAAAGATTAATTAAATTATAGTCGTATCTACCTTCTCTGTACTGGACATTAAGTATTAACTTTCTCTTCTGTGTCTCAAGGGTAATATAGGTGAGGGATTTTTTCTTGGATTGTCTCCATCTGCATAGATATTATAATGCAATTACCTTTAGTAGGAACTGAAAAGTTGATTTGTATAAGAATATTCACAAAAAATGTTTTGGGCATTGCAGGCTTGTCTTTGTGCTCTTAAGACTTTAGACTGTAGATGCCAAAGTTCTTTCTCAAATTGTCCTTTGGAAGAGTTTTTGTAATCCATTTAGTGTCTAAATTAGTGTCAAGATCTAGTGTCTAAATTAGTTCATAAAACTTCTCTCCTTATCCTTCTTCCTCATAGAAGTTGTATTTGTAGTGTAATTGGGAAATAGAATTTTTGCTTTTCCTCAGAAAGAAATATACTTCGCAAGTTTATTTTTGTGTTTAACTGCATCCCATACTTCATCTAATATGAAACTGGTTTTGAGGAATGTGTGTGTTAATATTCTCCTTTGTTTTATTTTTTAAAATTTTCTAGATATTGTAGAGCATTTCTCAAATCTTTCATTTTCAGTCAATTATTTTTTTCCACTGGAAACAAACTTACATTATTTTACTCATTGTTTTGGAGCTTTCTAGATCATTACATGTTTTCTTCATTTTTCTCTGCAAAGTGTCATGAGTAGCATTAATCGTACAAAGTAATAGCACTAAACCCACACAAATCTAGAGCTTAAAAATACTAAATCTTTGCTGTTGTTTCCTTACAGATATAAATTTAGCATTGGTTCCTGAAATTAAATGAGTTTTAGACTTTCTGATTCCAAATTATTTTAGTAATGGAAAAGCTGCATAAATACTAGGCTTCTCAGGATGATGTAAGCTGATGAGTGTAGCAGAGCTGAAATTAAGAACCTGAGACTTCTATTTTCTGCTTTTAAAACACTGTATGGTTCTGCAACTCTGTGATGTGTTTTTCCATGTTCAGATAAGTAACTGCACTTAGTAGAGCTTAATTTAATTTTTTACATTTATCATTTGGCAATAGTGTTCCACTATATAAACTATAAAACTTTAGAGTTTGGATGTGTTTTAAAATAACCCATAGAGTGACTTTGTAATCTTTTTTCCCTTTACCATCAGATGGAACTTTTAGAAGAGAAAAACATAGTCAAGGCTCAGTGTCGACAACTGGAAAAAATAAAAGTTGAGTGTGATAAATTGACAGAAGAATTAACACAGAATGAAGAAGAAAATATAAAACTAAAACGGAAATGTGAGTTTGTAAAACAAGAACTGGAGAAAAAGGTAAAATTAACTGATTTTAACCATGATTTGTTTCTCTGCTGATAATAAATACCTAAAATAAATGCTGGATCATAGAAATAGATGGTAAAGCTAAAAAACCCCAGTACGTATGTATTAAAGAATACACTCAGTTTTGCCACAGTACATGGTTTCTTTATGAATGAAAGATGACAGAAATGCTTTGGCTGGATCATGAACTGAATCCCTCCAAGGATTCGCTATTATTATTTAGGACTAGAAATATGAATCCTGTTGCTTGCCTGATCGCTAATATAGCTAACTAACAAATGTTTAATCAGTCACTTCTAGTTTTCTTCATATTTTTCTTCAAGATGCAGTGGAGCTATGAATCATTTAGAGGTAATTTGAAGTAGATATGCAATGTAAGCATAGTAAAAGAAATTCTGACTAATGTTGGGGTGGAAGATTTTTGGTTTTTTGGGGTTTTCTTTTATAGTGTAGAGTTAGAAAAATGTTAAATCTGGCATTTCTCTAGCTTGCTAAACTATCAGGAAGTGGTTTAAAAGCTCAACTTAGACTAGTAAAAAGTACTTGAAATGAAAATTCAAAAATGTGGTTTTTTTGTGTTGGCATTTTAGTTGTATAATATCTATTATTAAGAAAATGTGTTTATAGGAATGCACATGGGATTCTGTAGTCAGTTGTGTATTAGCTCAAACCTTACCTAATATTGGGAAGATACTCTTTTTCCATTGAAATAATCTTTTATCTCTAAATTGAAAAATGTCAGAGAAGGTTTTAAGCATGTGATCCTGTGGTCTCAACTTTTGAAGGTAAAGGCAGATAGTTAGCTTGCATTAATGGTTAACTTAAGAGAATATTTGCTATTTTGGTTTTGTGGGTTGTCAAAAGGGATGTTAGGATGGGGGAAATAATATTGCCTCTTGGGAAATCTCATACTGGCATACACTTGTGGCAACACAGCAGAAGCTTATTATGTTGCAGAGTATTTTATTTTTTTTCCATGCTTTTTGTACTTTTAATATTCTGTTCTTAATGCAAATACTAATTCAAAGGGGCATAGGTATTATAGCTAGCTTAGATTTATTTTTTTTCATGAAAGGTGGAGGAGCAGAGCATAATGGTTGGTTTCTTTCCTTTTCCTTCTGTGCACTTCTGAGTCATTAGTGACTTTTTTTTCCCTGTAGGCTCTGGATGTAGAATGATAAGGAATGTTGGCACATTCAAAAAAATCAAGCAGATAAGAAATAAAAAAAATAAAGTTATGTGTTCTGTTTTAGTCATGGTCTTTGGGGATGAACTTTGACATGATGGAATGCATTCAGTGAATAGTGAGGTAACAGAATACAGATACTGGAAATATATACAGTGCAATCTTATTGCTTTCAGAATACTAGTCTAGGTCAAAACTGTTATTTCAACTCCCATCTTTCAACTCCCATCTTTATATAGTACAGAAATACTGGAACCTGTCCATCTTAAAAAATCTTATGATTTCTTCAGTTTGAAATAACTACTGTCCCATGTATTTTTGTGAAAAAATCAGACTGCTTATCAGGTATTGGTGTTTCACATTTGTAGGCCACCTACATTAAAAACTCCTGTTTTGCTAGCAGAAATAAACACCTATACATATATGTGTATACAACCTCCTCAAAGGAGGTAGCAAGGTGGATGTTGGTCTTGTCTCCCAATTAGCAAGTGATAGGACAAGAGCAAATAGTCTTAAGCTGTGTTAGGGAGATTCAGATTGGATATTAGGAAAAATTTATTCAGACATTGGAACAGGGATTGCTTAGAGAAGTGGTTGAGTCACCACCCCAGAGGTGTTCAAAAGACATGTACATGTGATGTTCAGGGATATGGTTTAGTGGTGGACTTGGCAGTATGGGGTTTTTAGTTGGACTCTGATAACTGAGTTCTTTTCCAACATAAATGATTCTGTGATTCCATAAGAGCAGTGTATGAAGATTTCCAACAAGTAGACGTCAGACAGTTGTACCTTGTCATTGTGGAGGTCCACAATTAATAAATTTTTGAAATCTTTGCTCTTTTCACCATTCTTGTTGCAACTCACACACATTGGAATTTGCCTGTTAAAGTGTTTGCCCTTTGTTGTATTACATCCTCCTGATCTCAGCAGCAGACAGGTGTGTTTCAATTTCTCTTATTCTCACAAGATAGGTTTTTCTATATTATTTATGATGCATAATTCAATATTTTGTGTAATCTAGCAGTAGTTTTACTTGGTTTTACGGCAGCTCTATCATAGATCTAAAAGAAGAGAATCTGAATTTTAAAAACATGTAACATATTTAATCAAATTTTTGACATTAGCTGATAACCTAAAATACTTTCCTTAGTGCCACTCACTCTCCTATGAGATATTCTTTGAGTAGTTTTCCTTGGAGGGTACACTGATTGCCAATAAAAAGTTTCCTTCTAGGATCTCTTTTCTGACGATAGAGATTAGATGCCTAGAACAGATTCAGGGCAAAAGATAATAATGGGAGTATTTACACTGGGCTCTTTTTCTACTCATGAGGAGATTTGTATTAGAACATCTATTTTTGACTTTGAAAATAGGCTTTTATGATTGTTGAGTTTGGATCTGGTAGCAGTTTCTTCATAACTGATTTACAGGATAATAAGGAGAACCAAGGGAGGAACTTAGAAATGCTATTAGAAGGTATTGTTTTTCCATGGCAAGGAGTTGAAATTAGCATGACTGAGTATGGTCTGATTTTGAGATTGAATGATACATGGCTGATGACATATGTTATATTATTAATGCAATAACGTATCTTTGTTTTGTTTTTCCTTTTTCACTCCAGGAAAAACAGATCAGCAATGAAGAAGATCATTTGAAAAAGATGAGTGAGGCCAGACTGCAGTTTAAAGATCAACTGCGTCAATTAGAAATGGAACAGCAATCCATTCTCTCCATGATAGGAAGTGAAATTGATGCTGCTTGTGAAATCTTTTCTCGGGACTCCATGGAGAAATTAAAAGTAATTCTAAGTTTTAAGTATGCTGCAGGTTTTGTTCTTTTCTTGATGAAAGTTTGTATGCATTGTTGCGTAGATAATCATTCTAATATAATTATGGATATTTAGCTGGTACAGAAGGACATTGCTGTGTATAAGAATGGGATAGTGCGAAGGGCTGTCCATGCATTAATTGGTACTGCTTTCTTTTTTTTTTCTTTTTTTGAGAAATATTTCTCCTCTTGCTTGTGTGAAGGGACCTTTTATTAGCCAAAATTTTGAGGTAGGTTTTCTTAGGCCGTGTTCCTGGAATTGGGAAATCCTTAAAAAGGACCTAAAATGCTTTTAAAATTGGGAGAAAATGAAAGAAATTTTTTGTTGAAAAATCACTTGGATGCTTTGGTTCTTATGTAGAGAACTGAATACTGAAAATGAAAAGAGTTCATGACCTCCTCTTTTGAGGAGCAGGTCCTTGTATCCAGAAAGCTCAGACTCAAATTTTCAGGAAACTGGTAGCTTGCTGTAACCTTTTTTTTTGCAATTTTAATACTTCTCCTGCAACCCCTGTCTCCCTGTAGCTTTTCTTATGAGCATTCTCATTTGCTCGCACTCTTCCTCCCTTGATATGATTCTACGTGACTGATTCTCTTAAATCAACATTGTACATTTCTGAGAATATAGAGAACAGACTGTCTGACTCAGCTTGTCGCCACACTTACAAGTGCTTGACCTGGTGGCTTTTTAGCCTTAGCTACAACCCAGAGTACACTCAGATTACATCTTTTTTTTTTTGTCTTGCTGTTTAAACAGAAAATACTTTGTAGCTCTTGGTCATGGACTGCTTTTGAAATAGATTTTTTTTCACCATTGACACATTTCTCTACTTACACATGGAGTTGGGGTGTTGCAACACAAAACTAGATGAGAATTCTAAGACAATGTATTTGACAAACAAGCTTTCTCCTCTGTATCCTTACAGATAGGTCTTTTTGTTTTATTGGGTTTTATAATCTGCTGTAGTTGCCAGATTTTTGATCATTGAGCCATGCCTTCTTGGATTTGTTCCTCACCTTGTGAAGATTTTTTGGTTTCTGGATAAGGTTTTGCAGATCCCTGTTTATACAATTCTCGTTGGTTTTTTATCGCTGGCCAACTTAAACCAGTTCTGAATGTGAATTTTTGACTAGACAGTTAACGTGAAAAAAAAAGTTAGTTTTGTGGTCCTGGTATGAAATTTTTTTTTAAGGTAAGAATCTTTCATTATAATATTGTTCCTCTGCTCAGTACTTCAGGTATTGCTGAGGTTTCTAAAACGTTTCACTCTTTACTTCAAGAAGTTGTTACTGCAGCTTGGGTAAGCAGGAGGAATTTGATGGATAAATATTTGTATTGAGAGAAGTCAAGCACTAGGCTTAATCTTCCTTGATAAGAAATGTATTTCTTTGATGAATTTCCAGTAAGCAGAAAAGACTTTCTTCTTTCTATGCCTAATTCCCATTTTATGTCTCTTTCTTTGTCACCTGCTTTTTCATAGGCAATATCCCTTACACCAACAGTACTGAACGATCCTCATCGCTGGTTAGCAGAAGCAAAGGTAATAGTCAAATCTCCTGAAGTTTTACTGAGTAAGCTAATATTCAGCATTTGATGGTGTAGTGGGAGGTGTCCCTACACAGGTCAGGGGCTTGGAACTAGATGATCCTTAAGGTCCTTTTTAGCCTTTTCAGCCCTATCCCTATATTATGGTTGAGTGAGGGGGTGAATCTGTGAATGGATGGATCTGATTTAGTTAAAAGTCCATTTGAAGTGGCACTTCAAGGGTAAAAAGAAAAATATAAAAGCATACCTTTGGCAATTATTCTGATGTTTCCAGACTGTTCTCCAAATGTTTCTATCAACAAGAAATAGCCATCTTTATGGCAAAATAAATAGCAATGCTGTTTTCACAAAAAAAAAAAAAAAGCCATTGAAGTAAGTGCAGTGATACTGTTTAGATCTGGTTCAATTTTTTTCAGACAAGTAAAGCAGAGGATGTAGTCAGCAGGTTAAGTTTCTCTTATAGCATTATCACAAGGCTAGAAATTATTTTAAATAAGGCTGATATTTATCCAATCTAAAATATATTAGATTGGATTCTTGGAAAATGAACGATTTTTCTTTCCCCGTTGAAGCTTTCAAATCCTATAATGTGGGGGCACACATGCTTAAGAACATCTTCAACGTGGTGACTGTAACTCATAAATCTTGCCTTTCGTTTTGCAGTTTTCCTCCAGCTCCCTCAGCTCACACACATAGAATGCTTCTTACCCAGTATCTTTTAAAAGAACTAAATTTCTCATGATCAAAATAGATTGCAAACTGTGGAAGACAACTGGTGTTTTTGCTTCATATAGAAAGGTCAAAGCCACAGGAGAATTGACTGAAGGAAAAATAATTGCAAATGTTTGCATGTAAGAGAAGGTTATTCATGGTGTGTGGTCTGTGTAAGACTTGTAGACCAAGAAAGACTTCCACTATACATAACAGAGATAGGATTGGAATCAAAGGAGAAATGTTATGGAGGAAGTGTTTTCTTCATTTGAAAAAGTGATACTGACATATTATTAAAAAGAACTTTCAAAGAGCGCCTAATAATACTTTGCAAACCTAAGTTTGTTTAGCTGCTAGAGGGAAGTTTAGAATGAATGACTGCTTAAAATGCCACTTTTATTTTCTTTTGTTTTAAATAGGCTGTGTGAAAGTTCCCATATCGTATTCCATTTGATCACTTCTGGATTTACTAAATTGATCACAGCCAAAAGATCTCAATGAGATCTTTTTCTCCTCTGAGTGAACCTTAAATATTGACTTTTGCTGACTAGAAAGGTTTGATGTCACTTTTTCAGAAAGGGGAAATATTTTAAGTTCTGCCAACATAAAATAGAGAGAAAAAGGTACTCTGAAAGGAAAGCCTGTCTCTTGGTGTCTATGTGTGCACTAATTCAATGTGAATTTCCACATCTACCCTAGCAAATTCATGCTTCTGATTTAAAAGAAATAAATTAATATTAAAGAAAATCACTTTTCACATATAATTATCAACCAAAATATGTTTTTGATCTCTTGAAAATCAACTTATGTTCTCTTAATGTATCTGATTGCCCTCTATTATTATTTTTCAGATAGTTACGAATGAGTAATTTGTGACTCCAAAGATACATTGAACATTTATGGTCAGTGAACATTTATGTCCTCTTATTTTTATTAGAATTCTTTACTTTTTATTGTACCTTTTGTTTTAAATGTAGACTAAGCTTCAGTGGCTGTGTGAGGAGGTAAAGGAAAGAGAAAGTAAGGAAAAAAAGCTGCGATGCTACTTGCTGCAAAGCCGAGAACAGCTCAAGTACTTGACACAGATAAAGGAGACTGAACATCAGTCTCTCTTTAAACAGATAAAAAGCCAAGAAAAGCTTTTGGAAGAAGTTCACAGAGAAAAAAGAGGTATGTTATGGATTCCACTTTTATTAATAAAAGGGAGAAAGAATGTAAAATTCTATTAATTATAATTTCTATGGCACATTCATTTTATCACCTAGTTATTTCAAACTGCAGTGGGCTAGTGCTAACTAAGAATAATGCTTTGTTTGTGGTTTTTTGTTTTCCCTTGCTGACAAAAACGGCAAATGCAGTGGCTGAGTAACACATGAGTTTACATCATGCACAGTGGGTATAGAAATTATTTCCCAGCTGTACCATCTGGGACATTGCACGACCTGGGCAAAAAGAGTCTGAGGCCGCCTGAGTTAGATTGCTATTGCACAGCTCACTGTGTCATGGTACGATCTTTCATTGTCTTCTGTTCCCTCAGTTTTGGAAGAAAGGTGTCGCCTTTTACATTTTCTTCAGAAATCTTGTTCCCGGCCTTTATTCAGGACTCCGTACTGATATAACTGGGCAGAATAAGTATTCTCTTTCATTATTTTGTTCGTTGTCACTTTGTGCTGATTGATGTAGATACAGATAAGAGTAGACTTTTAGTAAGCGTAGTTACAGCTTCTGGTAGTTGACTTACTGAAAATGTTTTGTGAATTGCAGCAAAAAACAAAACTGCTTGGTATTGGCAAGAACAAAGTTAATTCTCTTCCTAGTAGCTGAAATGTGCTGTGTTTTGGATTTAATATGGATAGTAATGTTGATAACACACTGATGATTTAGTTGTTATACCCTAAATCAAGGACTTTTCAATTTTCCATGCTCTAATAGTGAGATGGTGCACAAACAGGTGCAAGGGAGCATGGCCAGGCCAGGGGAACTGGCAAAGGGATATTCCATGTATTAGAGCATTATTCCCTGTGCACAAACACAGGAGAGTTGTCTGGGAGGAGCCAATCACAGCTGGAGAAGGGGCTTGGTGGTGAGCAGTGATACTGTACATCACTTGGGGTATTTTTGGTTATACTTCTATTTTTTTGGCATGTGCTTGTAATGACAGTGCATGTGACAGTGTATGCAAGATTACAATCTCCACGTGAATTTGATTGGTTTCTTTTACAGTCATGTCAACTTAGATTTTTCTTTTTAATTTGAAAATTATTACTTTCATTATACCAAATGAGTTATTTTTTAAAAGTTGTAGAAGGTGGAGAAATAATAGAATGGATATCTGTTAATCTGAGTTTTGAGTACTGTCGTTCACCAAGGGATACATTTAAATGTTCAAAAAGGGTTTTTTATTAAAAAAAGGGTGCAAGACAAAGTCTGACTGTTTTTATGTCTTAAAAATATACTCCTACATACTGAATGAAAAGCCCAGCCTTGATTATGATGTAAGTAATACAAGAATGTACATGTAAATAGTTTAATGGATAAATGACTTCAGCATGAAAATTGGAAAAGCTACTTTCCCAGAGGGAAAAAAGAAAACACAGATAAAAGCATAAAAGAGGTGTTAAGCCAAAAGGAGAAAGCAATCCATCAAAATGATAACAAATTTAAATTAAGGATACAGAATGCTGGTTGGCTTTTCTTACTTAAATGTAAAAAATGGGAGGATTTACGCAATACTAAGGCACCCAGTAATGAAATCATGGGCAATTCCCAGATGTAGGAATAAGCAAATGAAGGCAGAATGTATTTAATTGATATAAAGAGCCCTTCACTTTTTTTTTTTTAACACCAAAGTATCCTTAAAGGTACTGCTAAATAAAATAGATATTTAGTCAAATTTGATCAAATGGATGAAAATATTTTCTGCTGGAATTATGCAGATTTTAGATGGAGCATTTTATCAGATTCTATGAATAACCATGAGTATCCATGGATGTAGTTGACTGTCCCCACTGACACAAACCGCTTGTCTGAGTACCTGATATAGTCTGAAAATACTACATTGATTTAAGTTCACATCAATCAAAACTTACGCAAATGAAACAGAGAAATTGTATTCTCAAGAAATTGATTTGTTAATTTCCTTTCTATGGATTTGATAATGTAATTTACTCATGGGGTTTTTTTTGGGGAGAAAGAATAAAAATAGAGATTTATGGTGGACATATCAAAAGTAGGTGGCATAAATATTTAAATGGCTTTGTTGATGACTGTGTTTAAAGAAGTTTTATTAGCTTAAATAGGTCTACTAAAACTTTTAACATGTATTTTTTTGTCTTTTCCCTTTGCCAAAGCATTTGTAAATACCTGGAATAATGTAGGCTTTTGAAACCTCCTTACGAATTTTTGTAGAAGTGTTAACATTATCACAGTGGTACCTCTGGTGGTACAAACTGGCCGTCCACGTGGTATAATCCTGACAAACACAAGTGAGCTAACATAGACATTCATCCATGAGAGAATAGAGAATGAAGCAAAATACCTTTGTGAAGTGCAGAGTTTCAGGTTTGTTTACAGGGCAGCAGAAGTTTCATTGTTATCTGGTGATGCTTCAAGATCAGCTACATTTGTCTTCCATTGTTGATAAGAGTAACATAATGGAGAGTTTAGAAATTCAGAAGTCTAGCAATATTTATAAATATAGAAGAACTGAAGAGAAGGTGACTTCTGAGTTCAGGTTTGCAGATTGGTACTTTGGACGCAGTTCACTACTGAACAAGGTATTTATGTAGCATGCTACACAATGGGCTATTTCAGTAACAACTTGGATTCTGTGTTTCATCTTAGAGTGATTTTGGTCGTATAATCAAATTTATTGCACTAGATATTCAATATGTTAACAAAATAGACAACGGTCTGAGGAAATAAAATGTATGAGGTCCAGTTTCTTAACTAAGAATTTAATTTGCATTCCGGAATCACTGAGCATGCCATGGTGTTCTTAATATCAATTTAAAAATCAGTTTAGGTAACAAGAATTTTATTTTTATTATTTTTTAATGCCATTGTTAGCAACTGTACCTGGCACAAAATTTCTTTCATTTATTTTATTTCTGTATGATCTAGCCAGACTGTGTATTTTGAAAAGCTCATCTTTCAAATCAGTGAAAGTCTGTATTTGATCCTGGGTGGACCCAATGGTTTTATAAACTCAGATTTACTTTAATTACCTTTCCAAGAAAATCTTGGAATGTACTGATGTGTATATAAGCTAGACATAATATGTTATATAGTGGTGGACATGAAGTCTGCACAGTTCTTTTGTTTGAGGATAATATACTGCTACTTCAGAGAAGACACGGATAGTCAACAAATAAATGTTTAGCAAAATAAGACCTGACATATTTGGCAACACCATATCTGTTCTTTTTTTTTAATGAAACAAAGTTAGTATGGCTGTAGTGATGTAAGAAGAGGAGGTGCATTGCTTCTATTTACAAGACTGATTTAATTTGTCTCAAAATATTCTGCAAATACTGTTTTACACAAAGTCTCAGGTGATGCAGGATGTATTCTGTATCGGTTCTCAGTGTCTACTGAAATAATGCTCTACAATAACGTTTGAATTATTACATATTTGGAATCTCTTATATAGGTATAACTTTTATACCTATACTGCTGTATATACTTATACTGCTAAGTAAAGCTTAGGAAGGTGACAGTTGTAGTCCTGAGCTGTGATAGACTAATGATAGATGCTTTTGTCACAGGCACAAAACTGTTCTGGGCAAATGTGTGGCGTTTTTCTTTATGTATTAAGTTTATCACTCATGCCTTTATCATTGTGCATTGTCTTACATTTGAGGTTACAATAGCCAGATTTTGAAAGACATTTTAGCTGGTTTTAGTGGTGGTGTCAGCTCTATCAATCATACACAGTTGCCTCTAGTTTCGTCACTTTAAACAAGTAAAATTTACAAAGATTTTGGGACGTGATTCCTGAAGCAAGACATCAGTTTATTTTAATTTCTTTTTTTTCTGTTAGGTTCAGTCAGGATTATCTGTTATTCTGCTGCTGTGGATAATGTAAACTCAAAAGAGCCTGGTATATTAAAGTAGATTAAAAATGCAGGTAAAGTTTTGCTTTGACAAAACCTAATCTTTCAAATTATATTTCTTTTTTTTTTTCTGTTTTAAAGTCAGGAAGTCAAATTTTTGTTTGAGTCTGGAGCACTAAAGCAGAAAGAGTAGAAATTTAAAATAAGAAACAGTACAGTACATTGAATGTAAATATACTGACACTGAGCAATCTCTGCTATTAAACTGAAGAAAAGGATGAGATTGGAAGCCAGTGAAAATCAAAACAGTGTAAAATCTTTCTATTCTATTTATTGTGAAATCTTTCTATTATGTTTCATTAAATAATAAAGTACATATGCAGTTTTGAAGACAACTTTAAGCCTTATTCTGCCCTTTCAGCTTTGATTCTTTCTTTTTTATTACATTTTTTTTCTCATATATTGCATGATATTGCCCTTGTATGAACAAGAGTCCTTTCTGTGGCAGCAAGAAACATCACAAGGTATTTTCAGGTCATCTTTTATTGAACAGTGAATGGGAGTATCAGCTAGAGAGAACACTCTTTTAAGCATACATACAGGAAGGAATCTGAAGGATTTCAGAGAAGGTTTTCATAGTACTTGGTTTTCATATTGAGCTTCAAAATGCATAAAGTTGAAATATCATTGCTATCAAAATAATTGATTTCTTCTTAATAGTGTTCTTGCCCTTTAAATAATGCTTGGTTTTTTTAATGTGATGGGGGAAGGAGGAGGGAGGACTTCTAAGTTATTTTAAACTTTGCCAAAATGAACCTGCGTTCAGAGTCCTAGAAGAATGGAAATAAACCCAAATCATTTAGAAATCCTGCCCTGTGGATTTTTTTTTTAATTGGAAAACTGGAAATACCTGACTGGACATGAATTGCTGTAATTATTTAGTAGTTTTCTGGAACCATTTTCATTTGACATTATCTTTTTATGCACTCATAAAAATATGGCTGCCATTGTAAAAAAGAGAAGGTAAGAGATGGGACCAAACTGTAGCTAAGATGTTTTTAAGACTTCCTTTGATTTCTTTTTTCTTTCTGAATCACATACTTTAGATGATTATCT